TGACGAGAGATTTGAAAAACTTTGTATAATTTAGTGTCGTTTGGTTTGTTTGGTGGTGGTGGTTGGTGAATAAAGCCCGATTTTGAGATTGAGTTTTGATACGAAATACAATGAATGCAATCCACTTCGATTCACTAAAACCAAACAACGGTGGCCATTCAACCGATTTTTCCTATATTTGGCTCGCTTATCTCGCCAACGAATCTCATCTTTCTCGAGAGAGGAAATTTCCATCGAGGCGTTTTAAATACGAGCTTCATCTGCATGTATGTAGTTTGGTTGGTTGGTTGGGAGCACCTCGTGTGTGTGTAAACATAACTTATTACATGAGCAGATTCATTGTTGCGTATGGATTATAGAAGTTGTGTGTGTTATGATTATGATGTATTGTGCGACTTGTTCGTAGAATTGTAGCTCGTTTTCTTTTTCTTGGGGAGAAAGGCGATAAAGAATCTTTACAAATTTGTACACGCAGATATGTACAAGAATAATAATAATGAGGTGAATGCTTATTTACTTTATTTTATTTGTGAAGCGAGCCTGTCAAAAAGTGTGTGTAAATAAATTACTAAATTAAGCATTATTCGGAATGTAGGAAAAATAGGGTGACGTGAAAGTTTGTCATGTTTTGAGAAAAACAAGAAATTAAAGATGCAAAAGTTTTGACAATTCATTTATATTGTTATGATTTGAATGTACAGACAACTGTTTAGGTGAAAATTAATGTGAAGATTTTCCATGCTTTGGGAGAAATCAAAAATTAACATTCTGAAACTATGAAAAATTAAAAACTGAGGATATCAAAATTTTGAGAATTTACTTATTTATCATGATATAAATGTACAGATAACTTTTAAGGTAAAACTTGCCGTGAAAGTTTACAGTTTTTTGAGAGAAATCAAGAATTAAGATTTCAAATTCTGAGAATTTCAGCTTTCATGAGTTTTCATGACTCGAACCTATATACACACGCACAACTTTGAGGGACAGCCGGCTAAAAATAGTTTTGCATGCATGCATTTAGATTTCCAGCCGTGTGAGAATGGTTATGTATGAAAGAATAATAGGAATGATAGAAATCTTGATTCTTTTGTATTAGTGAGTAAGTGAACACATTCGAATCTCACGTTTTCATATGTATGTTTATTACTTATGAATCCTAAATAAAACGCGAAATAATCAGTTGGTCCCATCTCTCTCTCGATATTCTCATCCTTGGGACGACGGAGACCTGAAAGTTTTGCCTGATTTCTCTCTCACACCTCTTAAAATAGAGGAGACAAATTCATCCCAAGTGGTCTCAATTCGTGCCCTTTTGTTCTTGACCAGCAAACACTGGATTTAAACCATTTAGTGGTTTGGTTTGAGGTGAGAAGAAGAATAAGAAATCATGGAAGATGAGAGATTTTACACTCGTGCCCCGTTTTTCGCCCGTGGCTTATCCTTCCAGCATCTCGGGCAAAACTAAACCAAACCACAAGCCAGACGAGCCAGAGGGTTATCTTATCTTATCCTGGCATCTTTACCTACGTCCCTTCTGCTTCCAATCGAAAAGTGTCACCTCGACAAATTATAATTCAAAATAGAATGAGAGAGAGAGCCCTTCAACTCGGGTTTCAATTATTAAAGTCTGTTCATCAATAATAACGGCCAAATTCGGGATAGAATTAAATTTGACATGATTTGTACACATATTTGGAGATCAAACGGCAGAAGACTACTTGGGAAAACGGAGTGAATGCAGTTCGTCGTTATTTTGCATATGATATGACACGTACAAAGCTTGTATTTCACTCGTTTAGCAACTTTCGCCATAGTTAAAGTATAACTTAAGTTACGACTTTTTTGGCTTGCTAAAACGCCGTTTCGCGTTTTGAGCAGCATATTTTAAGTTAAGTTATAATTAGCTAAGATGTCGTTGGTATTATAAATACGATTTATTCAGACAATTTTTCTACCGTTTGGCGTCATTGTTACTCGTTTTACTTTACATGCCACAGATTTAGGATTACAACTCTCAGGTTAAAAAATAGAAGTTACATTTTGAAATTGTGAATTTAATTTATACGGGTCATAATTTTCGTAACATTTTTCATGGTGTATTAAAGACAGGATTTTTATTCCCTTACTTACAACTTATTGACATTTTACAGCGAAGAAACCGTGTCAATAATTCCTTCTCAGTTTTCGTGTCAGGCTTTTCTCTCTTTGGAGTGAGTCCATTAGTGGATGGGACTGGGACACAAATATCAAGACGGCTTTTTCTATTTCTGACTTGGTCTCTCTTCTTCTTTGTCTCTCTCGCTTGGACGGACGGACGGGATGGAGAACGAACTGTCAATTACTCTCATTATCCATTCTTCACTAATGTATCTCTGACACTCCACTCTAAAATGCTCGAATAAAATCTTCCTCACTTTATGCTCTTCTTCCTTCTTCTTCTTCTTCATGCTTTTTCTCCAAGAAATATAAAAAATAACCCACCAACCAACCAACTAATCACCCTTCAATAATATCCGTCCAGTTGCTTCTTGAGCCACCAGGTAGGTAGAAAGAAGACGTGTAAATGGATAAAAAAAAGTTGAGTGAGAAAGAAGAACTGTTTTTTTTCCTCCAGTTTTTCAAGTGTCATGTCCCCGTCATGTTTCTTGTTCATAGAATTATTCGATTTTCAGAAAAGCAGGAGCAGCACTTTTTAAAAATTTCGACCAAAATGTAGCTAGTGTTAAAAAACACCTGCATGAAAGTTGAAATTAGGGCACGCCAATGATTTTAAACGTTTAATAACACGCATTTTTTAAAAAATCCGGAAAAGTGCATGAAAATGCATGAAAATGCACATTTTGGATTTAAAAATCTATTTTGGATGCACAATTTGTAGTATAAAATCCTTGAATAAATAATATCTAATTGAGAGTATCAGACTGCAAAACGAGCTCAGATTATGATTGGGACTTTGGGACAAGGTGTAAATAACGTAATGTAAGCCGAGTCAAGTGTCGAGATGAGATGGAGATGAGATGTATCTTTCCAACAATAAATACTGAATGAGGAGGTGACGGTGACTTATCTTATCTTCTTCATTAACTTGTGTACCACTACCACCACCAACTAAATGACTAACTAAACCAAACCACCATTCCTCTTATCGCTATCGTATCACGAAAACATGACCACAGTCAAGTCAAGTCTGTACTCATCTTTAAGTAAATAAATAAAACGCGACCTTGTTTTGTCCATGAGAACAGATTGCGTACGAGATCAGTAGTTTTCTCTCTGGGCTGAAAGGTGAACAACAATTCGAACATGAATTTTTTTAAATGGTGATAAGGTTTTCGTGCAGATTCAATTTTTAGCCCGAGTCAGGGCTTATGGAACCGTCATGTCCGTCCGTCTGTCTGTCTGTCTGTCCGGCACGATAGAGCCAAAACGGCTGAACCGATTGACTTGAAATTTTTACCATATGCATATTGGACAAAGTTAGGAAACGAGTTCGAAGATGGGCGAAATCGGTCCAGTGGTTGACCGGTGGGGGTCATCGGAGTGGGTGGGGTCTTATGCACCAAAATTTCAAAATTGTTGTAGAAAGCTGAAATTTGGTACAGAGGTTGCTAATGGCTCCTAATAGAAAAAAATAACTTCAGGTTGGAAAAATTTTCATCATGAGTGACCCTATGGGGTGACCCATACCGATTTTTCAAAACCATCATATCGAACTGAAATTTGGTGGAGAGGTTGCTTATGGGTCTTAATAAAAGAATATGATATGATATTGGTAAAATTTTTATCTGGAACGCCCCTATGGGGTGACCCATACCGATTTTTAGAAATTGTTTTAAAAAGATGAAATCCGGCACAATGATACTTAATGACTGCTAATTAAAGAATATGAAGTTAAAAGTGAACAAAGTGCAACCAGACCAAAGTGACCAGAGTGCAATCAGTATGGGGTGACCCATACTGATTTTTAAAAATCGTTATATCGAGCTGAAATTTGATTTGGAGGCTGAATAGCACATACATACAGCTTAGAACTTCAGGTTGTTAAAGAAGCCACTGGTCATGGTGGTCAAGGCACATGATTTGTAACTAATTCAAAAATTTGGTACCAAATAATAGAAACTATCTAACAAACTTTTAACCATCCACAACACGGAAGTTGGTGATATTATGTCGGTCAGTTCGGAAAAGAATTTAGAAGCGGGCTCTGACTTATTGAGTCAGGGACTATGTCCCTGACTCGGGCTATATGGAGTCTGCACTGTAGGTTTTTTAACCCAGTTTCGTAAAGATTATGTAATAATTTGAAAAAATTGTGCATTTTACACGCCAAAAATTTTTCTGTGTTTAGTTACGTGTGACTAAAATTGTATTATCTAAATGATATATAGTTGCTTTACAGTCTCACTTTGAACAAGTCTTATTTTTATCAATTTTTAGAAAACTATTTACGATGATCCCCACAATTCTAACAGAATTTAAAAATTAAGAGATACGAATAATTTCATACAAAGTCAAACTTTAAGTTCCAAACTTATACAACATTTATCTAAAAAAACTTGTATAGTTTAAACGCCAAAAATATATTTGTTAGTAATTTCTGATTATATTAGTTTATTAGATCAAACCATTTCACATTCTCATTTTAATCAATCTTTGCTAAAAACTACTTATTTACGACTCGATATGATCCCAATCCAATAAAAAATCACGAAATTATCACCATCCCTCCAACTTCTCTGTCTCATCTTCATTTCATCTCGAAATCAATGTCCTCGTCCGATTTTAAACAAGACTTTTATTCTTATTTAAAGAGATCATCTTCTTCTCCTCGGAGGACAAAAGTATGAATTGAATCTGTATCAGAATACGAATAGAAGACAATCCCCCACGAAATGAGAGCCTCTAGCCTGTTGGTTGGGACGCTTTCGTGGAAGGCGGAGTCGCCCCGCGCCCTCCGCCTCGACCACTTTTTACACCACTTTTACCTACGTTTGAATCCTAACCGTCTTCAGTCTCACTTTAGTTGGCAGCCTAAGTGGATTGAACTCCCAGAACTGACCGCATATACGATACGCCTTGGCACAATATCTAATCTGACTTTGCCTCCTCGGAATAATCTCAAGAGTTGGTTGAGTCAAGAGAAGAGATACAAACATACTTTTTATGACGAGATAGATAATAATAAGTGATTGTTTTACCATTTACGACACGTGATCTTATCAAAAATACGCCGATTAACAAGTTATCATTGACGTTTTATCTAAGAAAAAGGTTGATAAAGGATCTAGTTCTTAATAACTAATATTTTGGAATTTTGAGAATTATATTTGTGACGGTGAAATCATTCATTTTTGGTGAAACGTGTGAAAAATATTGCACCAAATTTGTTACAAGTGGAATATTTTCTTTAATGGGAACGAGAACTATATGATTAAAAATTTGTGGATTTTTTGAAGATCAAATTTGAAATCGCCAAGTTATCGTTGTTGTTAAAAAGAAAAGTTGTGACTGGAAAAAAGTGTGAAAATTGTGGTGTACAAAATAAGTAACTGTTGATTGACTCATGACCCGAGAAACGGGGGGTGTGTACATGGAGCGCGGAGGTTTTGGGGGGGAGGAGGCGATGGGCGCAGACGGATTCTTCGCCGACCCACGCGTCGCCAGATACTACTCGCAACACAGCGTCATGCAGTCCCAGTACTCACAACAAAGTAAGAATTTCTGAAAATTTTTTCAATTCCAATTAAATACACAGATTTAACAATAAACTTGAAAAAATTTTCGAAAAAGATTAGAACTTTTTCTTTATGATTTTCCATTTTTGGAGAACTTATTCTGGAAATCGAATCACTGTTATTTTCTAAGGGCAATATCTCCAAATTTATCTATTATTCTTGTGAGATAAATAATTTTCGTAAAATTTTCTTTACGACTTTTAAGTACAACTAAAACCATTGGAAGAACTATTTTCTTAAATAATTCTCAATTTCCTCTTCTTCTCTAATGAAGGGTCCCAGTACTTACAACAGAGTGAGAATTTCAGAATTGCTATTTCAAGTATATACACATGTTTTGAAAAACTTTAAAAATAACAAAAACATTCGATGAACAACTAAGTTATATATCTGTCATTCTTATAAAATAAATATTTTCACAAAATTTCCTCTCCGACTTTTAAGTATATCAAAAAAAACATTGGAATATACTGAATCCTAATGAATTCTCAATTTACCTCGTCTCCTCTAATGAAGGGTAAACAAGGGGAATTATTAAGCAACTTGAGGCCATATCAGACTGCATAATCGCTTATTAAACAACATTTTTATTAGCACAATTTTGCCATAAATATAAAAAACAAATATCTTTTATGAGTTCAAACATCCAAAGTCATACAACTTGTTAACTTGTTGTGTTGATTCGCATTTATTATAACGAAGCGATGATATTTATCCACCTGTCGTAAAAACAGGTAGGTTAATTAATCCTCATGAAGTTAAATATTTAGCTCAAAATTTTACGAGTGTTCGCAAATTCAGGAAAATTTAGATTTTTAGATAAAAATTCTGAAAACAATTGTATCCACAAGTTTAGCGGTGATATCAAATAACTAAGAATTTAATGGAGGAGGGGGCGTTGATATTTACTGACTTGTCGTAAAAATAGGCAAATTAACTAATCCACGTTAAATTAAATAGCTCAAAATTGTATCAATTCAACAAAATGTGACCACATTTACATAATAATTTCTAGATTTGCATAAAGATTCTAAAAACAATGTAGTAAATATCCACAATTCTACAATTGGTAACTAATCCTAAGTAATTAATGAAGGGGGGAGGGGACACCCTGCAGGGAGACCTTCTTACCGTCATATTATTTGCTTTCTTACTTACTTCATTCAAGAAAATGAGAACCTAATTAGCAAACGGTGCAAATAAATGCCTAATCATTTTCACAATCAGGAAAGGACGAGGCAGAAAGTGAATGAAATGAGTGACATGAACTAATTAATCATACTTTTCAATCTGTATTCAACCTGCCCCAGAACTGAATTAGCTACGTAAATAAATACATATTTAATAACCAGAATAGAAGTGACGGCATTATTATAAAATAAAAGTCGTGTCATTTTTTTTAAAGATTGATAAGAATCGGTGAGATTTTTGTTTATTTACTTCCACGCGTACAAAAAAATAGAAAAATATGAAGCAATTTTTATTTACCATAATTGTTACAAAATTAGTGTAAAATTCGTGGCAGACGTCCCAGACGCTTATTGCATGTCTACCTGCAATATTTGCACATTTTTCGGGAAATGTTCCCAGGAGTTCATTCATATTTTGAACCTGGACATATTTACATTTGATTCACGAAATTAATGATAAAATTGTTGCGATCACGCACAACCAAATAATTTCGGCGTCTCGTAGTCTCTCGCAAATATGTAAATAAATAAGTAAAATGCAGCCTCTGAATTTCTCAACCCGTTGCGTTTTGCGTTTTGCGTTATCACACGACGTAATCGAGCAGGGGGCAAAAAATTAATTAAAAGTTTTGATTGAAATTGATTAATTTATTCACAATTAAGTTGTCCTATCTCAAGAAGGGATCAGGCGCTCGGCTTGTTTACACTTTAAGTGCCTTGCACGAGAGCTCATTTATTCACTATTTATTTTGTACTTTGTGGCACAGGAGCTTTGCTAATTTATCATATTTCACTCTTTTTCCTCCTTCAATTACATTTCCGCCGATGGAGAGAGATTAGTTGCTCTTTCGCTTCAGTGTTTGTATGCCTACGCATTGTGGACAACTAATCGCTGCCATTATGTCAAGTCAGGCTAATTTTTTATGGGGCATCCGACAACTTACAAGGCAAGTTAGTTAGTTAGCAGTGTCGCATCTTTATGAATGCGTGATAGATAAGAAGACAAACGGAAACAAGCAATTCACACAGAAATAAAAAGAGAGTCGATGTACGTATTGCGAAAAGTTATGACATCGGGAAAATCTAAAAAAAATTGAAATGCAAATTGTTACTAATTTTTGTTCAAGTTTTTAGCCAGAGTAAGGATTATGGAAGTGTCGTGTCTGTCTGTCCGTCCGGTCTCGCGATAACTGTGCGGAGGTTATTCATACGGACAGACAGGCAGACGGACATGATGGTTCCATAAGCCTTTTGTAGAGCTAAAAACTGGACTTTCTACCTAATTAACTAATTATTTTAGTATTTGTCCTTACAAAATTAAATTTCCACAAACGAAATCTGTACTATATGCAAAAATTCGTGCTAAAAATCGAAATGCAAATCATTCCTAATTTTAACCACCTTCTTTTTTTTCTTTACAGTGAGTCGTATGTCCACCGGAGCATCAAGTAGTAGTCCGCCCGTGTCCAGTATGGGGGCAAATGGTCAATTTCGTCACCCCCAGTTCCACCAGCCGGCCTCCTTGCATCACCCCTGGCTCGGTGAGAGGGGCTGGTCCATGGCGACGTCAGGCTACAAATCCTTCCCATTTCCCCCCACGCCGCCGAAGGACTCGTCCACCCCGGAGGCAGCCACGAATCTGGCAGCCGCCGATTATTCCTGCCCCTCAGTCCCCACCAACAACTCGTCCAGCGATGATCTCAAAGTTTTCAGCAATATAAACCAAACCAAGGGAGGCGTGGGGGGCAGAGGGGGCGGTGGCGGCGGCGACGTTGGCGGCGGTGGTGGGGTCGACTACTACAACAACAACTACTTCCCCCCCTCCTCCCAGTCCTTCCTGTATCACAATAGTAGCACGCACAGCAGTAAAAATTCCAGTCCGGCCACACCCACCTTCTCCTCCACGCCGAACCACAACAATAACACCAGCACCAACTCGAAAGGGAGTCATAATCCGAATTCGCAGAAAAATAATGGCAATAAGAGTCGATCAAGTGCAGGTAAATGATTTGATGATTATGTATTTTTTAAGCTGGGGTGTACAAATTTGCATATTAATTAATTATTCACTAACTAACGATCGAACGCACCCTTTCTCGCTTTCTTTGTTAATGCTGCTATCAGTATCACTGGATGCCGGGCAAGGACAGTCGGGCAGTGGTAATCGGTGGGATCATGGTGATGGTAATGTTTTATTGACTCGATAATGTCTCGTTTTGGTTTTAGTAATGTCTTTTTTCTGTCGCATTTTTTTATTTTGAAATATTTTTTGTAACGAATTTCGACTCAAGTTTTTCGTTAATTTCTCGTTTTGGTTTTTGTGTCGTCCTTATATTTTTTATTTTATAATATTTTCTGCCTAATTTCGACTCATTACGTCTTTATAATTTGCATTTTATTAACTTTATAATATTTTCTAATGAATATTTTGTCCTCATTTTGATTATTCTCCAATTTTTCAGAGGGTCGTGAGTGTGTCAACTGTGGGGCGACGTCGACCCCCCTGTGGCGTCGGGATGGGACGGGTCACTATTTGTGTAACGCTTGCGGTCTCTACTACAAGATGAACGGGCAAAATCGACCCCTCATCAAACCCAAGAGACGACTCGTAAGCTAACAACAACTTTTTTTTTTACTAATTTTAGCGATAATTAGTCAAAATTTAGCCTTAGATCTAACAAAATTACGTTGCATTCATCATCATCGTCCCAGAATAAATGGCTCGTTATGTATAATTCAGCGGGGAAAAAGTCTTAATTAAAATTCATCTCATGCTCCTGACCTCCACTTTCGACTCCCATTCGGCTCGAGTCAAGTAATTAACAGACTTCTTCTTTCTTTCCTTACCTGCGCCACACGAGCACGAATTTACGAAGTGTATGCATGGATGACCAGTGGGCAAGGAAGCACGGCCGGTTTTTTTTCATAAAATTTCCAGTTCAGTTGTTCAATGAAATGAAGTAAGTAGCAGCAGAGGTGAAGGTGAAGAGCAGAATAAGGATTAAAACGTGTGTTCAAACATCAACATGAGTTATGTATTTAGTTGTTGTGTGTGTGCGAAATACGCGATTTTGTTGTAGGATTCAAATCTAAATAAATATGTAACAGTGTTTCGTTTCTTGCGGGTTTGGTACATTTCTTGCACTGGAAAGGAAGAAATGCAAGATATGTGAGGTGCAAGAAAGCGCAAGAAATATGCGCCAGTTAGCGACGCGCTGTGTGAATTATCGCAGCGGGAAGTAGTTTCTTGCGTCTTGCATTTCAAAATACCTATAAAAACCACTTTCTTGCCGTTCGTTCTTTTACTGCAAAGCAGGAAACGCAAGAAATGCGAGATGCAAGAAAGTGGAAGAAAGTGCAAGAAATTTGCGCCATATGAAGTATGGCGTATTTTCTTGCGCTTTGCATTTCTTGCAGGTCAAAATAGCTGCAAGAAACCACTTTCTCCCCGCAATTTCTTGCAAGTGGTTATTTACTTCACCCGAAACACTGCAAAATAAGTTGGCATTTTTTGCCTGCCTGGCTGCCAGCACCTCGAGCATATTCTTTGAGCTTATGAAAACCTTGACGGAGTGATGAATGCAGCCAAGAACGAAATATGTATCTGTTCTGTAACTACACATTATGTAGGAGAAGAAGAAGGGTTGCTTTTGGTGCAGTTGAGCAAAAGTCGACTTAAAAACTGGTAATTATTTCCGGTGTAACAAACGCCACCCAGTCCAGCAGGAGCAGGAGCAGTTTTAGATTTTAAGAATATCACATGCTTCTCATTTTATTATTTTATATTTACCATCTTCATGCGAGGATAAGAAGAGATGTGTGTAATGCGATTCTTTATTTATTATAGGCCAGCAAGATTATGCATTTTCCTTATGTAGAGTATTATTTTGTTCATATTTTTAACCCATTGTACGTAAAATATTATTAGCAAGAAGAATCCCTATCCAGATAATCTTACACCTTAAATTACATAGGAGTTCGTAATATAAAACTATTTTCAACGCGGAAATACAGCAAATTAAAAGAAATTAAATTCCAAAAAAAGTGTGGAAAAAAGGACATAAAAATATGTACGAGATTATTAATGTTAACATGAGCATACAGCAGTATTTTCATTACGTATAGTATTGTTATCCATATTTTTAACCCATTGTAAAATATTATGGGCAAGAAGAATCCCAAGACAAACAACTTCAGACCTAAAATTACGTTGAAGTTCGCAATATTTCTTATAAAATTATTTTCAACGTAGAAATACAGCAATTTAGAAATAATAATTTCCCAACAGAGTTTATCCATATAAAAGGCATAAAAATACGAGATCATTATTTAATATGGACCCTGCTCCAGTATTTTCCCTGTGTTAAGAATTTTAATCTCCATCCTGATTTAAAATCCATAAAATAGTAGCAGCAAAATTTGATCTAAATTTTCCTAACACTATCTTATTTCATACATAACTATTTTCGACGCGAAAACTTGACAAATTTTAATTTCCCATCTTTTCCCAAAAAAGTATCATCGTCGTAAAAAAAGAAAAAAAATATTATTGATCATGCCATTGTTTTCGTGTAAACTGTTTGTTTTTATATTGAACCTGATGTCCACAGAGAGGCTTATTGATCTAAAATTAGATTTTTAAAATTCTCAATTTCTTAAATAATCATTTTTGACGCTAAAACATACCTAATCCCAAAAAAATTTCTTTATTTCCCAACTTTTCCCAATAAAGTGTCATCATCCTCTTCCATAAAACAACATAAAATAAACAACGACAAGATTATTAATATTGATCCCCGTCTTATAAATAAATAACGCTGCGTGTATGTACATACTTATAAAACATCTCAAATTTCAGTATATTGAAGAAGCGATGTTATCCGTCCTCCCTCTTTTACTTACTCTCCCTCTCACTTACATAATTTTATACAAGATTCTGTACATAAAAGATGCTCATCATCTTCTTCAGAGCACGCGTTCTCCTCAAATTACGTAAATGTGTGCATCCTCTCCTCTCCAACAAACAACCCACTCTTTAAAAAGTTGAGAGTATGTACATAGATACATACACATTTACATTTTTAAACGCTCACTGTCTCCTCTCCCAGCCAACAACAATGAATGAGCAACATCTTGTAAATCCGAAATGTAATCTCTTTTTACAAAGTTGACAACAAGACAAGAGAGGAAAAAAATAAAAACCGCGTGTTCCCAGAACGATTAACGTTGAAATGTGTGTGTACTTTATTTTATGGGGTGTCGCTTTATGTCGTACGGTACATCCGACCTTATGTACATATGTGCATGCATGGTAATTGTGCGTTTTTTTCGGGTAAAACACCCGGGTATTTAGGCAGGCATGCATGTACATCATCATCATCGGATAATGGTTGGGAGTTGGGACAGGAGAAGAGACAGGTGAATCGAAGCGGCGATGTCAGGAGGACGGGAGAAATGTTGCCAAAACCGTGAAGAAGTGTGGTTGCATTGGCAGCCAGTCGTAGTCTTGTAACGAGATAACATCTCCGCCCAACTTCCGTCCCCCTGTTTAAACTGGGTGGGAGGCAGGCAGGGAGACGGGCCACGTCAAGGAAATGTCGCCCGTTATACGTACATACATGCATAAATATGTCCAGTGTTTCATAATAAGAATAGGCAGTTAGTAAAACTAACTGTGTGTAGTTTTTAAAATTTCCGTAACTGTCCCTATTTGTTGAATTTGGTCAAAATTTCCGAAGCCGATCTTGAAGAAGTCAGTTTTGACAATCGTCTGAGCATTTTTCGTATGGAAATTTCCGAAAATTTTAGCCCAACTCGAGAGACGGGGAACTTTACGGAAATTTTAAAAACGTAGATTTGCTAACGTAGTATTAGGCAGTTAATATTTCAAATATTTCTCGAATTGTCTACGTGGTGAGTCTGGAATAATAAGGAAATTCCCAACGAAAAAGTATTCATATTGATTAATTATCTATATATCTTGTAAATTCTTGCAGCCAAAAGTGACAAATGTTGCATTCACTTTTCTTCTCAGAATTTATTAGATTTTGCACTAATTATGAGAATTTATACGTCTAATTAGCATATTAATGTTGCCCAGTTAAAACCTGGGTGGGAATTAATAACTGCATGGGAATAACTTTATTATACGAAAGGTCGGACAGTCTGCTCTTTGTTCTTTGACGAATGGAAAATTATTAAGATATGTATCCTCCAGTCAACTTTTGGAGGATATATTTTACGGAAAATTTGTTGTTGCTCGTTAAAATAAAATTTGCTAATTATTCCGACACCAGAGCAGACTCATCACATCACATCGTCTTGTTTTTAGATTAGCAGAGCAGTAGGTGAGGTGAGATGAGAGGTGAAATTCGCACGGTGTATAACAAGTCCGCACGTATGTAAAAGAATTGCCTCGTCCAAGGCAAGGTCGACAAGTTGAAACACCATGTTTGCCCGATTTTCTCACAATTAAACGAAATCTTGAGTCGATAAGGACGTGGACGTGGACGTGATAAATAGTGCCCGAGGAGACTTACCTACATACTTTTGTACCTATCTTTTTATGTATCAGGAGGTTAGTGCAGAAAGAAAATGATAATGATAAATAAGTAATCGACAAAGTTGAGTAATTATTTGCATAATATTCATTTATCGCAAGGAAGTAAGTATCTACTATTGCTTAATAAATATTTGTAATTAGTAGCAACTTAGATTTGACTTTGACTTTGGATTTAAATTATGATGAAATAATTTAAATGAGGAAAGTTATTTAGGAATTAAAGAACGTCCGGGAATGAATGGGAATGGTCTGAAAATGTGGTCATAAAATCACAATGAGTTATCGGAATTTTAAACTTTTTGCATATGTATAATACCAAATACGTACCTACATAATTTAATTAATAGCTAAGGCCGCCACACCCCCGTTGGCGACTAGTTCGATTTTCTTGCGAAGATTTTTCATTAAATTTTTTCCCGAAGTTTTTGCCACTTCCGAGGTGATTTTCTTCCATCGTCCTTTGAATTTTCGAAAGGTGTCAGGCACATCTTGAAGCCGGGAGTATACTGACTTAGAACGTGCCCAGAATTTTTCGATTGGGCGGAGTTGGGTTACATTAGGTGGGTTGATATCTTTTGGTACGAAATCAATATTTTTCTTTCTGAGGTACTCGGTCACTTTCTTTGCATAGTGACAAGTGGCGAGGTCAGGCCAAAACAAAACTTTATCATTTTTGTGAAACCTATTAATAAATGCTTCCAATCCAGCCTTGACGCAATTTTTCAGATAAATATCTTGATTGATATTCCCTTCGAGAACTACCGGGTCTGATACATGTACGTGACTGGAGATGCATTGCCAAATGCAATATTTCTTTGGAAATTTGTCTTTTTTTCGTACTTTTTCTTCATAAGCCACTTCAGAGGGATCCGAGCTATGAAAAAAATGACGCCCTGGAAGATTTGAAGGGTCAACCGGAACATACGTTTCGTCATCCAGGATCACTACTTTTCCACGCATTTTCTTCAACAATTTTTGACAGCAATCCTTGATCCGACTTTCTTGTACGGGCTTGTAATTTGGTGCAGGTTTTTTGGTCCTTGCTTTGATTCCTAATTTATGGACCTTAATTTCCCCCAGGTAGCTTTTGGAAATTTTGACTTTCCTGGCAGCTACCGCTACTGACGTTGATGGCTTGGTTTTGAAAATTTTTTCAATTCTATTTTTCACTCGAGTGGTCGCTAGCTTCGCCGGACGACCAGCTGGCTTCTTGAATTGCACATTTTCGGAATCCTTGAACTTTTTTATGTAGGAATACACATTTGAACTTGGAATTCCTTCCTGCTTAAAAAAGTTCCAGGTCACCTTGGAGTCTCGGTTGGCTGTCGTGTTGTAGAACTCCATCACTCGTTTTGCTAACAGCTCCCTTTCAAACAAGCTTCTTCTACCCTTATCCATTTTTGAAATTTAAGAGTGATATACCAAATTGACCCTAATGAAGTGGGCTTTCAGAAATTTAAATTATTATAGTTCGCGGGTTTATTGATTTGTCAATATACTCGCTAGAGCGCGCATTCCCATTCATTCCCGGACGTTCTTTAATTGGGGAAAATTCTTGTGAACGTGAAAAGGAGACGTCACATTTTATTTTTTTTCAAGTAGAGAATATTAATACACATAGATTTTTAGATGTCATGTTGAAATATGGAGTTATGAAAATCATATTATAGCATTTGCTAGTTTTTTTTAATTCGTGTGAACGAAGACTTAAAATTTTTATTCATTTTTCGAGTAGATCATTACTTTATTTGAGCATGTATAGATTTTTTAGAAATTAATGCCTCCAAAAATCCTATGATAGCCAACCGTAGTTTTTTTCGAAAAGTAGGATAATTTCCCCACCCGTGTGTCACTCCACCCAAAATCTGTAATTCAGATTGGACAGACGGGAAGCATAAGCTGCTCAACTAATAATAATGGAGTTGAAGAGTTGAATGAGAAAGTAAAGATCACCATCATCATCATGGTCATTATTCCTAAAAAAGTACCCCCACCACCACCCTTCACATTTTATACTCATGTAATAAGTACCCATCCCAGCTCAACTTTAAGTCTACATTTCATCCGATTCACTCAGGTGTGTCACTTACTCATCTACCAATCGTGGGCCATGTCACTTGGTAACATTTCGATAAAAAAGGCACTTACTTACTCCAGCATGACACGACAGCCATTAGTCGAGTGCAGCAACACCAACCACTCCACAGTAATGATCACATGTACATACATAGCGGCCCTCTTTTACTTATGTACCTAGTCGTCCCCCCTGTTCAGTAAACTAAAAGTAGGGATGAGTCGACAATGAATTTTTAAGTCGGTCCGTGTAAAAAATAGGGCATTTAATAAAAGGTCCTCCTCGGAAATAAATATGTACACGCACAGGCACAGAGACCTTATTTGATGGGAAAATTGATACGATTGATACGCAGATATCCTCTGGTAAAACCCCACTGACACAAAAAGTGGGTGTCCATGTGCCCCAGGAATGAAACTGCACTCGTAACGTAACAAACTGGATGCATTGTCCTCTCCACGAAACAAATCTGTATATTTTCATGTAAACTAAACTGCTACCGGTTATACAAACAATAACAATATGGACAGAAGAAAGGGTCCACATTGCGCAATACGACTTGAACTTGATACAGTTGATGGTATGACGCTGCTGATGATACGATCTACAAATCTGGAGAAATATAATGGAGGATCAGTTGTCACCCGGCTCCTGGTTCGTACATATAAATGTACCAACTTTTTTTAAGCAGAAGTATGGTTGCTTTTCTAGTACGTAGAAATATCTCTTTGGTTTTGAAGAGTTGTTTATTACGTCCCTTAAATAAAATTCGAATAAAAATGACAGGGCTGGTGGGACATGGTGTATGTACGTACGTATTTATTATTTAAGGTATGTACATACGTAAGTTGCGTGATACGGACCCCTCACTGCTCCTTTGAGCTGGACAAATAATTTTGTATTATTCCGGGTCAGAATGGAATGATGGATTTCGAATCAGAATGTGTAAGAGGAATTTCGAAATGGGTACGGTTTGAATTTTGAAATGAAATTTGAATTTCGAATTAAGAATAAGATGATAAATTTCGAAATACATAAGTACGATTTAAATTTTGAAATAAAATTTGGGGTTCGAATTCAGAATAAAATGATGAATTTCGAAATGGGCACGGTCTAAATTTTGAAATAAAATTTGGGTTTCGAATTCAGAATGAGATGCTGAATTTCGAAATAGGTACGGTTTGAATTTTGAAATAAATTTTGATTATGTGAATGAGAATATTTGTAAGAATGAGAATTTTGAGTGTCCCATTTCTCGATTACTGTGGAGAAATCGGTTGGAAAAGGAAAAGGAGGAAGGATGACAAAGTCGTTAAGATACGATCGTCCGGAATAATAATGCCCGCTCCGCTGTATTTATTTCTCCAGTGGAATTGCTGTCGGGAAAGTTCATTCCATTTCACGGATGGGCTTTCTTTGTCCCCCGTGAAACTTTAGGAAATCAAAACTCGGAAGGAAAATTCGCTTTAAGGAAAATGAGGAGGAGAAAATTATCCATTATTTCAACTTTCGTTCTCTGTATTAAATATATTTTGAGAAACTTGGTCTTTGTCAAAGAAAATCTTGGTGAATATGCACTTGCGGGTTGAGATTTCATGTCGTAAAAGCTAAGATTTGTAAAAATTGCGGATAATTGATATTCATAAATTGGTTTAAAAATTTGGTCATAATTTCCCTTAGTTAAAAATGGACGTTCCTATTTCAGCTTTAGTTGTATGCCATTTTGTGTTTTGTCGAAGAGGACTTGATGGAATTTCATGTATGCAATCTGTCGTAAAAATTTGTTAATTGCGAAACATGAAACTTTTTATATTTAAAAGAACTAACTAAAACCTTAATCATAATTTTCCTCAAGGTAAAAATTGTCACGATAAGATAGCGGATAACCCATGCACCATCTCCTTTTTGATAACATCATTTATCACCCCTTGTAAATCTCGGAGGGGTTCTCTATTTCACTTTTTATATCGTCGTGTCATTACCATCATTATTATTTTGACAGTGTTCACTTAATCCTGAGAAGAAATGAACGTACGAGATGATTACTGAAGTGGTTGTGCTGGCTTCATTTATTTATTTATTTGGATCCGCGGATGAGATGTCAACCATTGTGCTGTCAATTTTGGCTCCGACCGGCCCCGTCGTCTGCTAAGTAAGGGAACTTAGACCCCAAAATAAGAATAGCCAACAAGACGACAAACTCAAACTTATGTCATCATCGTCTTGAAAAGAAAGCCCATTATGGCTCATTGTTGAGACTTTTGAGAGAGGACAATAATATCGCTCCCTCGCAATGAGGGTATTGGGTTCGGAAAATGTATATTTGGAGTCGTCCACTGCTGTGATTTTGTGGAAAATTGTACAATAATCTATCGATAATATCTATAATCCAGGAGGAAAGTGATTGCACAAGTAAAATCAGATTTTTATTTTGTTCGAGCCGGCAGGGGATGAAAACTTTGAGGGATTTTGCGTTGAAAAAGGCACACTTTGTAATTAGGGGGAAATTTTGAGGGAATTTGTCTTTAAAACTGCATAATTTGTAGTCAAATGAAAATTTGCATTTTTTCCGATGGAAATTTTAAGACGGTTTTTTTTACTTTCAAGGATGAAAATATACAATCTAGATGCAATTTTTTTGGAGGGGATCAATTTTTTAGGCTTTTCGTGTCTCAAAAATCCAAAATTTGTTTTTATATAATAAAATATGGTGCTTCTTATAATGCAAATTTGATGGTATTTTTTCATAAAAAAATATTTTTTAGTCCACAAATGCAACAATAATTGGGGTGTAAATTGATCGCATAACTAAATCATATTTTTTATGATTTGAAAATTTTGAGGGATTCATAGTCTCAAAAATTTACAATTTATGACGTGTTTGTTTTTTTGGATGTAAATTTGATGACAATATTTTTCTCTCTTTACTTTCCAGTCCGCAGCGCGTCGTGCGGGGACGAGTTGTGCAAACTGTAAAACGACGACGACAACCCTTTGGCGACGGAATCAAAATGGAGAACCGGTCTGCAATGCGTGCGGACTTTACTATAAACTTCACAATGTAAGTGATCACTTCTTTTTTATTACGAATCTTTCACCCCAGCCAAAACAAAATGCCAAACGAATCATAAACTCGTAAACTTGTCTTAATTTCATTTTCTTATCGCTGCCAATTATTCATTCAGCTCGTTTGTCACATTGTCCCCTCTTGTCCACCGATTTGTACCCGATCATTGTTACAAATCCTGTTCATACGCCATTAGCGTTGACCCAGACAGACCACTTTCTTCACCCAAGAAGACGAGACACACGCGACGTGCACTTGTTGTCCCCAAAGAAAAATTGAGTGACAGGTATTGAAAATTTGGCTAATTTGATTCCTTTGTAAGAAGGAAAATGGGGGAGAAAAGAAACAGAAACTTGAATTCCACAACCCTAAATTTGTAGTAAATTCCAAAACAAAACGGTCGATTTTAAAATTCTGGTAGCTGGTTGGTGGCATAATAATGGGCAAAATATTAGGAGTTCGAATTTCTCGTGTCAGACAGTCTCCTCTCTCGAAGAAGGACCTGTCAGGGTGGACAAGTGTCTTCCCATTGTGCGACAGCGAGTGTGACCATTATTCGTGGAGGATTTGGGGCGTTTTGTTGGTGCCAGTGTCATGCTGCGTGGTTGCATAGGCTCGTAATAGTTGTTGTGCCCTTTATTACAATGAGGACTAAGCAGCCTTCATAATGAGGAAACCTAACTTTCTTCAACTTATTCAGTTCGTAATCATTTCATTGTTGGGATTGTAAGAAAGGGTCGCACTTTGGTTGGCTTGGTGCACAGGTTTGGGTCGCCGGTTAATCGGATTGGGGAGGGGTAGCCACAGTTAAATGGGCAGTTATGCAATCCAGGCGATATGCAGGTAGACAATAATGCCTTATCAAGAGCTCGGGCAAGTCAGTGGTAGCAGTTGAGTAGCACCATCACAATTAAAATATTTCCTAAACTGTGCACATTCATCAAAATATTTCCTAAAATCAAGCATGTTTATCAAAATATTTTCTAGAATTGCGCACATTTATGAATTGATTTCGTATTTATTTGATTAGATTTCTAATCAGTCCCTTAAAATAACGGGACCTTAAAATTTACTACTACTTCGATCTCAGAGCCTGTGATAAATTTGGTTAATCGGAAATGGGATGGTTCCCCTCTCGTGATTAATAAGAAGCTCTTTTTCTTCCTCGATACTGCACTTGCACTTGTATTTTATTTTATACACTTTTGTCCTCCTCCTTCTCCTTCTTTTAGAGGGACACAAAGGAGCATTTTATAAGAAAGGATTTATTGGGTTCGCTTGTCACTTGACCGCAGGGGTTCGCCCAACTTCATAAACTCGCCTTTTATTTACCAACATGGACCTCGCCGTTTGTCACTTGTCACTCCGCTGATGCTGCTTTTTAACTCCACTCTTTCTTTCGCTGGAGAAGCAAGTAGCAAAGCAAGTAAGCCACGCCAAAGTAAAGAGACAATGAGGAGACTCATTCAGTTAAAAAAGTGTCCTCATCATCCATCCATCCATCCCCGGCATGCAGGGTCATTAGTTGAGGAGCAGAATTCGTGGAATCTGTGAACTCTGTCCTCCTCTTAAAAACCGAGAGAGAGATGACGAGAGACGAAGCAAAATAAAATAACAGAACACGAACGGAGGAATTCTTGCGCCGGGAAGAATATTCCATCAGAGGTTAAAACCGAATCTCGAGTGTTTTACGTATAATGACTCCAGCTCATTCATCGCGTCAGTCAGTGAGTCAACCCTTCTTCCAGTCCAGGAGGAAGAAGGAAACCCGAAAATGAAACAAATGCGACCATTTAAAAACTGTGACATCGCAGTAATTGAAAGGTCTTCAGAGTTCAAACGTATTTGTCTTGCAGAGACATGCAAGAATTTCTGTGAATTCTTTACCCACAAGAAGCAGAGAGAGGAACTTGCTTGCAAATATGCATGCATTTGGGTGGCATTACGTTAAAAAAATGCAGTTTGGAATTAAAATTTGAAATTCGGAAGTGGAATTTCTTTTAGAGGACAAAAAACTTGCAAATACATCTCTTTGAAAATGCAGTTTAAGTAGGCTTGAAATTATGAAATTCAGAAATGTGCATGCAGTTGTCTCCAGAAAATTAAAGTTGGTTTGGTTTTTGGTCCCCTGGAATGGTTGTGATTGTCGCGTAGGTTTTTCGGACGGTGATTTATTCGTGGTAATTTCTTACCGTCCGATATTTATTGCCTTTCCAATGTTCCTCCTTCCTTCTCTACGTAACGGTGGAGAGAATAATGAAATGACATCTTCCCAGGTAGCCGAATGGTCGTAGAGTTGACCACTATTTAAACTAACTGCACATTCATCCACCCATGGCCTGCTTAAATAAATCGTTTATTTATTTTTAACCGAGTGGGCAGTGGTGGTAATAATGTGTGTGTGATGATATTACATTATTGAGCAGGCAGTCCATTTATATATTTCTTCGCAGTCTTCATATTTTTATTTTGAGTCGAGATGACACTTTTCTCAGTGAAGGGCAGAGGGCAAATCGCTGCAGGGACACGACCCGAAACTTGTGAAATGAGAAAATCGTATTCTTTGGGACAGAAATAAACTGAAAAACCACAACACACAAGACACATGCTGGCCTATTCAACTATCCAAGTTTGTGTAGTTATATTTTTAGATAATAAGTCATATAAATAGTAAATATTTCTAAAAATTCGTGTTCTTTTGTCATTTGTGGTGCAACTGCATGTATTTCAACCTTTTTTATGGAAAAGGTTAGGTTACCTAAAAGTTGTGGGAATTTGGGGAATTGCGACATAAGAAGTTGAGTCGTATCTTGATTTCGCAGTCAGTTATGAGATGACAATTATCTAAGATGCAGTTGTATTAGGGTCATCCTCCTCTCTGGGATGGGATGCAAATGGACAAAATTAGATCAAATTTCGTCCATTTTTTATGGGCAAGGTTATCAGAAATTGTGAGAATTTGGGGAATTGCGACATAAGAAGTTGAGTCGTATCTTGATTTCGCAGTCAGTTAGATAACACAATTAAGATGCAGTTTTACAATTCAGGTCATCCTCCTCCTCGGGGAGAAGGAATTCTAATGGAAAAACGCACATGCCCAGATTTCGACCCCATCAACTTATTCGAACTGCTGTCTAAACACTTGAAAAATCTCAGCTTTCTTAAAGAAGAAGCCGAATCCTTGAGCCACCCATTCCTCGTCGTCGTCATTCGTCTCTCTGCTATTATGTTGTGACAGAAGAAGACTCGTACTTTTTTTGTATTTCTGTCCCATTGACAAAGTTTGGAAAAGATGAGACAAGAAAAGAAGAAACATTATTATTGGATACATGTCAAGCAGACAATGCAGCACAAAACATGGTCTTTGAACTGATGGAGATGACGATGAGTGAAGAGGAGGCAGAGAGACAGATTTCTCCAGTTCCAACATCCTTTTTGAATTGGCTTCGTTCCGTCGTAAATGCATGTGCAGGGAGGAAATTCGGGTTGTTACAAAAGACACCCGGGTATTAAATAAATACGGTTACGGTTGGTTCCTTTCTGTAGGGTGAGAAGTGAGACCCATTTCCACTCTAGGAATATATATTTACGGGAAGGAAGGAAGAATCGGCTCATGAGTTGGCTAATGACCGTGTCGCTCGCTTTCATACGACCTTAATGAATACTGGTATTTTTCTAAAAGCGTGCCGTAAAGGGAAGGCGCGATGGACAATTAGTTTTCGCAAAATGGAGGAGGAAAATTCTTGATTTATTTTTTACCAGTGTTTCGGGGCATGCTACATTTCTTGCACTGTTGACTGTAAGATGCAAGAAAGTGCACGAAATATGCGCTGTATGAAGTATATAGCGGCGAAAAGTAGTTTCTTGTGCCTTGGATTTCTTGCAGGTCAAAAAATCTGCAAAAAACCCTTGCCATTATTTGTTCCAAGTGGTTACATATTTGCACCCGAAACACTAATTTTACTATTTTGAACGGATCCCATGTTTTGGTGGGTGAAAGTCAGCAACTTGTCGACAAGGAAGAAGGCTCAGTTGACATCTTGGTATTTGGAAATGTTATGTCACATCGCGGCAGGAGTCGAGCGAGGTGAAGGGTCTCCAAACCTTTAAGGAATCCTTGGAATTGGAATTTAGAAGAGGCAACAACAGCGTCTACTGACTAGGATGGAGGGACACAAAAAAGCGCATGTTGTACTCGTCGTGAGAAATAAATAGGCAACAACTTTGTTTGTATCCAGTAAACTTGTCCCTTGGCCTGCCTTGCATGTTATGTCTCGTCGTTGTACGTACTTCATTCTTGGTGGTGGTGGTGGTGCGTGGTTTGAAATATTTTCGTGTCCTCCCGTTGTCCTGGAGGGTCACAGAAGTCATGATGAGTAATTGATGAGAGGGGTGAAGGAGCAGTTGGTCGTGAGAGGCGACAACCTCCCAGAGTTGGAAACCTATTGTCTCTCCTCATTAAATAAATATCACCAAAAATCCTCCAACTTGTTCCTTGTCCAACCAACGAACATAGTAAAAAATGTCATCCTCCTTTTTACCTACTCAAACTTCTTGGAGGGAACGAGTTGTTCAAGAAAAAACCCAAAAATTTTTTAATGTAAAATTTTGAAATTGATTTTCTGCCTGATTTTTATTATTCCCATTTTTGTGGCGTGGCGTATCCATTGTTTGATTGTATTGGGTGACATTCATGAGCTGATGATGTGCGTGCGCCTCCGCTATTAAGGGAAAGTCCCCTCGTTTTATTCTACGTGTAGCATATTTCATTGTTGTTACGGGGCAGTCGTGGTAAAGGGTTGAAAGAAAATGTGTACAGCTACTGGTTGAATATTGTGAAGGGGTAGAAAACGCGTGGAAATTGCAATTTCACGCTGGATTTCATGCACCTCTCATCCCATTTATAATACTCTAACCGGGATGAATTGGATTAAAATCATTTAAGAAGGAAACCAGCTAACCAACACCCAGCCAGCCAGCCCTGACCAGCAAAAATATGGACCAGAATTCAATGAGTTGCATTAAAATCGAACACTAATGATCATCATCCCGCAAGTAGGTATTTACAATGCCGTCATATTTTAATGGACTGGTCTCGATGGTGGCCTGAAACTATTTCGTAATAAAAATCCTGCCGTGGTCATAAATGAAGTTTTTTGAACTGATTGATTGATTCCCAATCAATCTCTTCCTCTCTCCCCAGGGAGCTGCGGAAAGGAGCAATTTCATGCACTTATTTTTAAGGAGATGTGCTTTTTTACCGCTTAAATACGTTAAAATCAGATTAATTATCATTTCAGAAGCAGTGGTGAGATGAGATGAGTAGTCGTTTAGTTGGTTGGAGGCAGGTGATATTTTAAACGTTTCTCACTCAAGTGACCACCACCCAAGAAAAACAGAGTCAATTCTCGCCTAATTGCTTCCCAAATAAATTATCCGCTCCTTGCGCCATGTGAAAATCTCTTGGTGGATGATGAAAGTGGGTGAAGTCTGATATGGCGAAGAAGCCGACCCCCTGCCACCTCTACACCCCGTAAACGGACACTGATTAATGACCACTGAACTGACGATGCTCCTCTAATCGAGGTGGATGATTCTTGTACTCTGCGCACTTTTTGTGAACTGGACCGAACCAACTTTTAGAAGCTGTCCATCTCTGACCAAAAATCAATCAAGTAGTCAATTCCTCATGATCCATTAGTTCATGAATCGTAAATAAATACCAGAAATGAAATGAGATACAACTTCAGTTCAGCGTTACAATTAGCGCAACGAATGCATTGTTAAAAAATATGCTAGATTTTTTCTCTTTTCATTTTTAATAAACTGAATATTCTCACTTGGAGGAGGAACACGTGCTCCTTCAAGAAATTCGATTCATTACGACTTTCATTACAACAATGGATCAAGGTTTACGAGATTTTCTATTCATTCAATTCTTCCTTCACGATCCAATATCGGCCACTAGCTAAATATTTAAATGAATGACACGAACGACAGCCCGTGAATCTCGTATCTCATTGACGTGACGACTTTGGAATTCAGGTGGATAAATGAATGAACCTGACAATATTAAAAAGATATCACCATCATTTCATCCATCCATCGGATAGAGGAAGGAAGAAAACGTGAAGAAATGAATTGGATTTGTTGATTGGACTGATTGAGGAGAGAGGACCCCCTTCGGCCCAATTTGCATTTTTAATTACCATCCAATCCAACTAAGTATTAAATACTTGGGCGAAAGTCTATTAACACTTTTCAATGAGCAGCAGCCATCAGCATTAAAAACCTCTCAATACAAATCCAGACTTTAATCTGTAATGAGATCAATTAGGCATTTATTGCTGCTGCTGGTGCTGCGAAATCCTCGGGTTGAATTTTGTTCAAAGTGCGAAAATCTGAATTTATTTATTTGCACATATTTGTTGGCACTATTTTGTGTGCAAAAAGTGCATAAAAGTATCCAGCCTTTAATATGCAACAGACTGTAATGAGATCAATTACTATTTATTGCTGATGGTAGAATTCTTCGGGTAATAAAAGTTGAATTTCGCAATTTCGCAAAGTGCGAAAAGCTGAATGAATCATTTGCACATACCTATTTTTTGGGTACTTAATTATTTTCTACATATGCAAAAAGTGCATAAAAGTGCAAATCGCACCGCACCAGATGGCCAACTGGTTTGGTTTGGTCTGCTCTGGAAAATAACGGTCTGTCTGTTGCTGCTGCATTAGTTTTAGTTTTTTTCTGGGGGAGGATGTTGGTCTTAAAATTATGTCAAATTACATGCTTTTCACTACTCTCTGTTTTCCTCTCTCCTGGTTAAAACACATCAACACAATTAGACCAACATTACACCTGCTGAACCACAACGAAGGCTGAATCCCTATACTTTTTAACACCACAAAAGTTAAGTAAACGAGTCCAAAATCGACGCGAGAGAGCCGAGAGGAAGCATTTTATTTTATTTCATTTAAACTCATTCTCTTTAATAAAGTAAATGAAATAAAGTGGTGGTGAGAAGTACGTACAGCATGTGAGGCGCATATTGGTCATGACATGGACATAAAAAGAGCAACAGTTGGACTTCGGCAGGACGAAACCTGAAGCCCTCAAGGCATCCAGCTCTCGTCATACTTAAATTTATGTACATACACATAAAATACTTATATGCACTTTAATACGATATGAACCAAATTGAAACACGATTAACATAATCACAGGCTTTTTTATGTGTAAAACAATCCCCGTGCATGGAACAAAGCCGTGGGGGACGACGCTGTATTGTATGTTATGCACCGGAAGTAGAGAGCGATAAATTTGGCATTTTGTAGATATTTTTTGGGGAAAATTTCCAAGAATATTTTAATCTTACTCTTTCTTTTTTCACGTATTTTTCAGGTGAGTAGACCGATAACGATGAAGAAGGAGGGGATCCAAACGAGAAACCGGAAGTTGAGTGCGAAGGGTAAAAAGAAAAAGGGGTCGCTCGGACTGCCCGACAATCTCAATAAGACGGCCTTCTCCTCCTTCAACCATGCCGCGTCCACGATGTCGCCATACATGTGAGTGATAAGCTTAGGTCTTATCTTAATCCCGATTTTTTATACAAATATTTAATTAATTTGCAGGTATCACAACGGCGCCACGTATGGTCACCATCACCACGGCGGTGGCATGGGTGGAGGCTTCGTGCCCCCTGCGCCACCCATGTCGATGTCCGGCGTAGGGATGGGAATGGGGAGTTTGGGTCACCTTTCCAGTCATCACGGCTCCCTGGGCTTCCCCTCGCAATATATGACGGTCAGTTAGTGCGACGACGACGATGACGACGTAAATAAATAAATAAGCAGCGTTTTAATCAGGGTGCCCAAAAGTCGTAAGTAATCTACATTTAATTGATTACTTAATTACTTAATTGTGATTAAAATATGGATTATTTTCCATGTGCAGGCTTCTCTTCACCACTGACAAGTTCTGGGATAAATAGTCATCTTCACCTTCTCGGCAGATCTCTTTAGTCATTTCTTCACTCATCTTCACATACACACGCCACACCTCTGGATAAGCCGGCTGAGAAGAAGATGTCGCATTTGATACAGATTTAATTAATTAATTAATTAGCGACATGATTACATACATAGTTATCCGTTTCCTATACACTTACTTGTACTTGCTAGATACAAATTTATGTAAGTTTATGTAAGGACAAAAAATCCGGTTACCATTTACCTACCTACCTATTTACTTATAAGATAAACCAGGTCCAGCCACCCACCCACCCCAGAAAAAGCTACCTCTTTATATTAATTACGTAATACGTAATACAACAAAATACTCTGTTTTTATACCGTCATTTTCATTATTACGTCATGATTAACTAATTAATTACAATTATATTATTGTTACTTTTTATGTATTAAAAATCCGTTGTTGCAATACGCAAATGATTTAATTTTACATATTTACTTGAGGAGAAAATTTGGTTTGCTTTCTGTTATGAAACGAACGAAGATGTTTTAAACCTGAGTATACTAAACTGTGCAATAATTTTAATATTTTAAACTCACCGGCGTCTAACTGAAGCTAAATGTTAAAGTTAAATGTACATTTACAATAAATACTCGCATATAAACAGAGTCTTATGAAGAATTGTTAACGTAATTAGGAGGGGGAGGAGCAGGTGTATTAATAGCTGTAGAGACGTGCGTAATCCTATGATAATTCGCAATTTGATAGGCAATTCCAGGCCGGCTTTGCTTATTAAATAGATAGTTTAAAATTAATGACATTTACATAACCTAAAAAAATCGTCACAAAATGAGAATATGATGACGATAAAAGTGATAGATTTTACTTACTAAATAAATAGATAAAAAATATAGACTAAAAAATCTACCATAATTTAAATAATAATTAAAAACTACATCTAGGCAATCATCAAGGGCAAAAAGACTGATTAGTGAGTAAAAGTGATGACGAAAAATGTATCGTCTAGTAAAAAAACTGCCCTCTTTAACATTGTTGTAGCCTCGACAGGATATAAAAAATAAGTTACCAAATATAATTACTTACGTAAAAATGGGACGAAAATGAATAAAAAATGTTTTCTGATAAAGTCAAATTTAACCCGTTTTCTTTTTTTATTGTCTCCCACGAACGACGGGATTAGGGCAATTTGTTTGCCCAGCAGGTAGAGGATTTACTACTTGGCATTAAATAAATTAAACTCCAAATTTATGATGGGATTTGATTCCGGGTTTAAAATGACATTAGTATATTCGACTCTTGTGATGAGAATTGGCAGTCCACCGAAAGTTGTATGATGGAATAAAATAAACGATGGGATTATACCCGGGTGCTCAACAATGAAATGCGGAAAGATCACATTGTTCCTCTCTTCTACCCGGGTGTTAAGTTGTCGGACTAATCCGGGGAGGATGGAGAAAAGTGAAGGGAAGTTGATTTCGGGATGGGCGTGGGACTGGAAATGAGCAGTGATTGTGTCATGTCGTCAACACACGTAACAATATCTCGGGAGGGTGACATCCAACAAAAGAGGAGAGCGAGAGTGAGAATGAAAGTGTTATTTAATCCTAGGGCTTTCGCATCCGAGTCAAAGTCTGACTTCATTTCCGCTTCACAAACTATACAGCAAATCAGCATCATCAGTTTTGAATTGTTAAATGCCACGGAATCAAGTATATTCATATGAAAGCTTATACTTACGACTGGAATGAATAGAATGTAACTTACTTGACCTTACGCAGGTCGCGTGTTAGTTGTGCGGATTCCATTGACAGCTAGCTTTAAGGAATAAAAGATTGCGTGGAGGAGGATACCGAGCGACATAAATTATGGATTTGTGAGAATCACATTTTAAACCGCAGAAGAGATTGGTTTCGTTTTTAATGATATGAAATTTAATGGATATCCGAGAACGCTGCTTTTTTAAAGGATATATATTTTTTTAATAATTCATATTTTAAAAGTCGTCAAATCAAAATTACCAAAGATAAGGCAAGTCATGGATCGTGTCCATTCAAAAACTAATTACTGGGTGGGAAAAGTTACAAATGTTAACATTAACAAGAGTTATTATAGAAGTTACGATATCAAAACAGAAAATTATTGCGTCGGGACGAGGGAGAGAATTTCAAAAACAAATTACTGGGTGGGAAGACTTATAATACAGTTTACGTCGTCAGGTTAAGATTGACAGCAATTTTTGTAGAAATTACGACATCAAAACAGTTCTAGTGTAAGAATCATTAATTCTGGAGCGGATATTTCACAAGCAGAATGCTCATTAGGGTCCTGCCCACGGCGGTATCATCGTCCATCTTGCATTGCATGTGACCCATGTCACGGGCCAATAGCGCGTCGATGTCGACGATTGGAGAGAATATGAGATTACTGCGAACTGGACGCTCACCTCCAAAGCCTTGAATAGGAACGTGGGGAAACTGTTGTCGAAACTGTTTCATAAATTTAATTTCGTTTTCTGAACTAAACTTGTCCGTCCCGGGATGAACAGGACATTGGGAAAAGAGGAGAGCGAAGCAGGCAAACTGATTGTTCCCAATAAATCCAGAAATCTATTAGAAAACGTAAAATTGTATGTATTTTGAAATATGTATGTATTTTCTTAAGTGTGTATGCATAGTTTTTTGCCTGGTGAAATTGTGGCTTCAAGTAATTCACGTCAGATTCTGTAATGTCCACGACAATTGAGGACACATAGTTATCCCCCTTAAAAACCAAGATTGTACCGAGTAGGGCTTCGTTTGACTCGTTTGACGTGGTGAACGTGCATTCCACAGAGGTCACGGAAATTTCAGGAGCACCGTTTGTGAAAGACCTGTAGTTGAAGGGCAAACAAATTTTAATCAATGTAAATTATTATACATGAAAAATTTGGCTTAAATTAGAAGTAAATTACTCTGCCAAGATTTGTTCTACAACGTTGTTCATGTCATATTCAGAAAAACATTGGAAGACAACAATCGCCTTTGTCCATAAACCCGGTGAGTTTGACTGGGGAGATTTCGAGGGCCACAGATTTGGATCCTAAAAAATAGTATGATTTAAAATAAATAATAACTAAACAGATTAACCAAACTTGCCGAGTTCACTGAAATGCAGTCAAGGCTAAAGTGCGAGGATTTTGGAATGCATAAACTGGCCAAAACGTGTTTAAATCGATGTGCCCCTCCAGCTGAAGTTATCCCTTCTGTCCAGACATGCTGAATACCCGAGCGGCTATCGCCGACAATCTCGGAATTGTGTGTAGAAAAGAAAACGATGGGAGCAGTGACGAGAATTAAGGTTTTCACATGAGGGAGTTTGTCTCCCTCTAAGAAATAAAGGATTCAAATCAATAAATTAATACAAGCTATAAATTTTAATTACAAATAAATTTTCCTACTCACCAGCTTCCGCATTAATATACAAATCCTCCACTTTTGGATTACCACAAATGATAATCGCCTCAACATCTTGAAACTTATTTTGCGCTTTCAATTTATCCCAGTGAGTCGTGTCCTGAATAATCGCAGAATTTTCTGCCCCCACTAAGTCCCACGGCTTGAAGAGCAAACTTGGGTGAAAATGATTCCTCCAAATTAATGGCATTCCACTCCCATCTGTCCAGAGAAGATGGAAGGGTCGATTCCCAACGCGACTTCGAAGTACCTGGAATTTTTGAAAACAAATTAATGCTACGGTTTAATTAAACATTTCCTCATAATTAAAAATAATGTACCTGATACGCCATGCTGCACCAATCTGAATTTACTCTGGCGATCTGCCTCAGGTCAGAATTCGACATGACGTTCATGATGAGAAGGAGGAAATTGTCATCGCTTGCGACGGCGTGGTGCAAAAGTCGCCCAGTGGCGATCTCATTGGAGACGCAGACTTTACTAGTCGAGCCTGCATCCACACCTCCCTCCATTTCCCTAGCCTTCCGTTTTCGACTTTTAATATTTTGACTCCCACTGCCACCACCACTGGCACTTTCGCCATCAAAGTCGTCCCAAGGAAGAGAAGAGGACGACATGCTAGCTAATAATCTACTTCTAATTCGCCTCTACTAATTAAAAATATTCCACTTTGCACAACTTCTTCAGAGGTAGTCGATTAGTTAATTAAATATGGGACGATAAAAGTCTGTCACTAAACTCTAAACTACTAAACCCACAGCATCAAAACAAAGTCAGCAGGAGAACAAATATTGAAATTGTGATGGATAAAGAATAAAAATATTTTTTCAGGCTTTCAACTCCCACAAAGAAAAGAACGCATTAATGTGGACTGGACGACTGACGAGAAATAAAGACAAATTAAGATTTATCACCGTCAACCGTGATTATTTTAACTACTTTCGAATACTTTTTAGTTTGCATTTATATGATATGTATTTAAACAACTTTATGTGTGCATATCTATAAATAATTGGAATGGAATAATAATGCAAACTCGTGATAAATTATAGTCTGGTAAAATTTTAATTAAGTTCTTCAATTAAGGGACGAGATTCTTTCTTCTTATCCGTCTTGTCTTCTTCTGGAATGAGACGGAGAGTCTCTTCTTTATAAAGATCATCTTTCTCATTGCCACATGCATCGTCATTCTTCTAATGAAAGAAGTAATTATTATTATCATTATTATTTGTATTTATGCATAAATAATATCTTCTTGTTCTAAATACCAAATTGAAAATGGATAAGATTGACAAGCTCCCTTTCCCACCGACCTGGTCGTCCAGAAGATTCTTATCAGTCGACCTAGTTAAGTCATTCTTTTGCGTGGGACGAGATGCTGACATGTTTTCTCCAGAGCACTTTTTACCCCCCTTCGTTGATACGTTCAACCCTTGCAATTTGTCTAGGAGATGAACACCCCCACCGCCGCTGACCTGGCATAACAAAATCGACGCCATGCAACTCCCAAGTTTTATAATGACCCACAAAAAATGTGAAAAAATATACTTTTTTCGCCTTATCCGATGACGCCGTCGCAGGGGTGTGGTCACCGCCGCCAAATAGTTCCCTCCCTTCTTCTAATTGTGACGAGATGAACTTGGCGTACGCTTCTGGATCCTTATCAACCATGTCATCCAGTGCTTTCCAGATTGCAGAAGCCTTATCCATAAAGTCCCCCATAATAATAATTATCAAGAAATTTCAATATAATCCAAAATAGATGGAATTATTTTTCGACAATATTTTTACGAAAAAATACTAAACTGAATCGAGAAATATGAGTTCGTTGAGTTCGTTGAGAAGAAAAAGGAGAGGAGGAATGATTGATCAATAATTTTTGACCTCTCGATTTTCGCATGATTTTCTCATCTCATTCGCATGAAAATCTTCCTCAACACAACAGTTTCGTAGTTGACCTCTCCTCACACAGTTTCAACACCCCCGTCTCGCAGTTTGTTGAGATTTGCATTTCGTCTCTCCCGATCTTATCATATCGTCTTATCAACTATATTATTTAGTCTTATCACAAACATAAATCTTATCTTATCGACCCAAAAAAAGCCATGGCTATCGGACTCGTGGAGGAAGTCGTACCACCATCAACACCACTGGATGACCTCGAGTTGCTAGACGGCGAACTCGATGACCCAGACTGGTCAGACGTATCATCACTCGATGACCCACAAGAGTTATCAACAGATTCACCACCAGCCACACCCTGCTGCTCGGGATGCTCCCACCATCACCACGACCACCCCCGTGATTATCAGCCCTTCAAGGTTGAACTATTACGTTCCATTTCCTACTCTGCAGCTGTCTTTGTAATTCTCCTAATTTCAAAATGGACTGGAATTCCTGGGGTCAATATCAGCCTGCCGGTCATCGTGGGAGCAAATCTTGGCCACTTTTATGTGCACGATCTCAGGATGAAACTGGGACGGCGACATGTTCTCAATCGAGTACGGGAAATGATCGTTCCTCTAACGGCCCAGGCAGATCTTGAAATTTTTGTGAGAATATAATTTAAAGTGTAATAATTCCTTCATTAGTTGATTAATTATTTGTCATTTCATTCTTCCACCAGGTAAACATAGCTTCCAGTGGAATTCTCTACATCGGAGTGGGTTTCCTTGTCCGCTGCACCCTCAAGTTCTTCTTCCAGGGGCCCGTATCCGCCCAGGATTTGAGCACAACGTTCATGATGAACAATTTACTGTTCGGATCGCCAAAGCAGGAGGAGGAACCAGCCATCCTAACGTTCACCTTGATTATCGCTACCTACGCTTATGCCCGCATGATTGTCAACGCTATCTCCACGATGTCCGCAATCCTGGCCGTGCTTCTAGTCAAGGATCAGCTCTCCGGAAAAATTCGGAACGTTATCGGTTGTAAATAAATAATTCGTCCTCATCATTAAATACAGACACAATTTATTCTCCACTATTTAATAATTGTCATTCATATATGTGCAATTTTGTATTTATGTAAATTAAAAGTAAATTGCTTTCGATATTTGTGTGAGCTTCTGCCGGTACAAAAACAAATGTAATAAAATGTAATGTAATAAAGTTTGATAAAATAGCATAGTTTAAACATTGGAACTACTTTTCTTTAAAAAAAATCAGTCTCTTGCGGTAAACTTCACCATTTTTCTGTATGTAATTAATAATGATCAGTAATGAAGGGACATGTTTAAATAAATATATTGCATAAAGCCAACCCGACCGATGACGTGATGGATGAGCTATTATCTACAACAAAACAGTGATGTCATGGTCATCACAACCATTCCAGTGACGAGGTAAAAGACACTGGCGACTTTTTCCCCCGAGTTGCTTTCCCCCTCCGCCTCCGCCACGGCAGCCCCCACGATTGCACCGTCCAGCACGTGAATCCGCCAGCCCATCCCGGGCTGGGTGAAGGAATGGTAGTAAACGACATCCGGCCAGGACGAGTTGGGCGTCACTTCGACGATCGAGGGCTCACTGCTGTTCTCACAGCGAAGTTTTAAACTATTTCTAAATTTCTCGAAGGTCGGGTAACTCTCGTCGAGGCGTCGATCAGAGGATTTGAAGTTGTTGCGACCCTTCTCCTCGTGAGACCAGAGGCAAAGACGGCCAGCTGCGGTGGGGCGGGAGAGGCCGCGACGCGTCGTTTCAACACCGGATAGGATTGAGTTAGATCGTGGGGATGAGAGAGCGTTTTGTCCGCCGATGGCCTGTGGAAGAAAGTAATTTTTCTCCTTAAAAAAAATCAATTTCTAGACATTAAACCTCGGGTTTTCCGATTTTGTAAAACCCGTTTTCAGCTTTATGATCAAAATTAGTTCAGAGTTATGAATTACAATATCTTATTTTTTAGGAAAAATTATTTAGTTCTGATATATTTTTCCCAAATTAAATTAAATTTGTTGTAATGCAAATTTTGCTTAATCAACAATTTTTTTCTAAAACCGGTTTGAAAAACCGATTTCACGAAAACGTGACAAAATCGAAACCCGGTTTATCAAAATCTTTGAATTTTCGACGCCAAATTTCTCACCTCTGTCGTGATAATGAAGGGATGATAAGTTTCCACATTGTGCGGATTATTGCCACCTTCGACCTTGAAGGAGTATGTGACCCCTCGCTGCATGTACAATTCTGGGGCGAGGTAGCCCTGAATGTACCACGCGTAGCCCGGATTTGCCACTCCGGTCATCCCTTCATACCCGCGAAGTCCAGCGGATGGTCCCAACCGGGCCGAGAACGTGCGGAGTTTTCCATCCACAATTTTCGCAGCGCCCCACGGCTTGAGGGCGGAGGATGATGTCCGGTCTGGAATGAGGAAGGGTTGGCAGGTCATGTCCGAGAATGACGAGGACGACGAGTCTTCCTCCGATGAGGTGGAGGAGGACGAGGAGGATTGATGAGGGGATGAGGATTTCGGTCTCGTTGGCATAAATTGGATTCGAGTGACATGCTTACGAGGGTAGAGGCGATGAAAGCCGGGTTGACCGGTAGCCAGGAGGCGTCCAAGCGCCCAAATTATTGGGATTGGCTGCAAAAAATCAGGACACATGTAAGTATAAAGTTAAAAACATGAACCGCCTCCACAAGAGTGAGGGTCCAGGTGGTCACATTTAGTACAAAAACTGTTCATATGTATCTACATAATAAGTATGTACCACCCATATTTTCGTCCAGTAGCACAATCCCGCTCATCACACGGTTAAGGCATTTTTAAATCAACAATTATTATAACTGATAAGTGTACCTTGTCGGGATCAATGTCTTTGTCCGCTTCATCTGCCCGTTTGAGTTGTCTCCGATACTTGATAACGATCAGAGGCCCAATTCTTCTCCCCTCCAAGACTTGGATCGAGTCAGAGTGCCCAAGTTCCGAATCCAGACAGACGCCACGTTTCTTTTCCAGGATCGAGGTGCACTAAATAGCAATTAAATAGTAATTTATCAAAATTATGACGAAAGTTAAGTATGGCGAAACTTGTGGCAAAAATTATGACGAAAATTAACGCTCACGGGTGCTTTTGCATCGACATTATAATCCTGAACGACTCCTTGTCCCGTTTTCACGTTAATGTGACCAATCGCTATGTCGGAAGACATCATTTGCGTCTTGTTATCCGAACCGGACAAACCGAACCCGAGCCAGTCGTCGTCATCTGTATAAATTTGGCGGAAATTAGCACATTTTTATGTTGATATAAATTAATTTATTACAGATAGTTAAATTTATAACTAATAATTTTCTCGTACTTGCAACAGCCACCATTTCGAAGGTGATCGTTTGTCCGACAACGTCCCAAGCGAGGTGAAAATCGTTATGGAGTGGGACGCAGTTTGGGAGGGAGTAGTCGTATTTCTGATAAAAAAGCCTTGCAACTTATTTGAGGAACAAAATCCGGACAAATTATTTGACGATAAATTATTGTCAACTTACAAAGGTACGCCGCAAACTGGGCGGGATAGCCCCACCGCCTGCACCACCGTCCGAATAAGCGCCAGCATTGCCCGATGTGGACGGAATGTTGACGTAGCATAACGCCTTATCCGCCATCTTATCGTAAACGGCGAGCCAATGGACGTTGCTGTCAGATAAGGTTAAGTCTCCGGGAAGAGTAAGTGTGATATCTTCCGCGTTGTAGGATCGTAGCGGTTCCAAACTGATGAGGACAGATTTTATTTAATTTACTCATTAATTAACTCGTAATTAATCAGTGTATGTAACTTACTATCCGTTTTCGTCTGGGATTCGCCACCCTGCTCCACTCCGTAACGAAGGAACGAGACCTTTTCCAACGGCAAAGTAGTTTTCTAAAAAAGGCGAATTAATTAATGATTAATTAATTTTCATAAATGTACACCAATTATATGTATGTAAAGCATTATCAACAAAGCCCGGATCAAAATTCACCTGCTGAAAATTTTTTATGCACAACTCTGGATAAAGTTTTATCACGCTTTATTCAAAGGATTCACAGGGTTGGAAAGATAAGCTATTACCAATATGAAAATTGTTACTAAAACTGAATTTTTGCTAATAATTGGAAATTTTGTTAATAACTCATCGACTTGTTCAAAGTTAAATGAGTGGGATTTTCATACAGAATTCTGGAGACGTTTTTGAAAAAAAAATGTTGGAATCCTGTCATCTTTTTCGTAATTAAAATAAGATGATATGCCGACTTTTGTATAAACGACGTGCAACTTAAACACTAATATTTTTCATAATTGCCTTTCCCAATTGTACTTTCTCCAATTGCAAAATTAAAATTATACGTACAACGTACATTCCATAAAATAAGTCTATTTTCTTCGTTAATTAATTGATCATCAATTGTTAATTTACATACGTGTCCTTCTTGTTAGCTAATTAATTCATTAGTGCTTAAATACCTTGATTGTGATACGAGATTATGGACAGTCGGCCAATTCGTATCGTCTTCATATCAATTAGTTCAATATTATCGGAGGAACAGTCTGAAATATCGTCGGATGCGGGGGTCGTGAACGGGGGCAGCGTCACGATTCCTGGCGGTTCAAAATTATCCGGGATATAAACGTCCCCAAAATTCTCCTGTGTAGCAAGTTCAAAATAAAATTGGGTCAAAAATAATTCTCAACTATTTTTTAAGAATTTTGTAAAAACGTATTTTATTTACCAATCGGGACAAATCATAGACTGAAATCCATTTCAGTTCTGAGATTACTTTCTTCTCTGGTAAAGTAAGAGTAAAGTCGCGATTATCCGATTTTTTGAGGACGTTAGTTCTGAAATTTCAGCGAAAAATGGCAAATTTTAGTAAAAAATTTCCTGTAAATTATGAAAAGTGAGATTATTACCGTCCCCACTGATCCGGAATGATGAAACCATTCGGTCCAGGTCCATTTCCCCCCGAACCTCCCCAAAAGTAGGCATCCTTCCCCATCCCATCATAGTAAAAGTTCTTAATCAGCAGCGTCGTTGCATTGACGGCATAAAGCGAGCCGGAAATGGCGTGATGATAAACGTTAAATCGTCCCAACAAGAGACCAAAATATTCCTCGGTGGACGACGACGATGACGACGAAGACCCGTCATTTTGTCCTGAGACGAAATATGGTAACGATATTGTGACCAGCAGCGTCGTCGCGAATACTAATTTTGAGATCCCCATTTTTACTCGACGACGGCGACCACGGCGTTTTTTTTTAAATCAAGTAACTTTCACCACGAAATTTGAAGTAGTTTAATTAAAATTAACTTTGATAATCCAGTTTCTTCATGATTACTTGGAAGATGAGGAATTTGTCGAAACTGGGGCAGGAAACACTTGTTGATTGGTTTCGCAGAGAGACCGGAAGTCTTACGAAGTCTGGACGGAATTCCAGAGGTGTTTTTTGTGAGATTTCTTCTCCCACAGACTGACACATTCAGGCAAGATTTCTTTCTTTATTATACTTGCTTACGTCTTTTTTGTAGGATTGGATGGATGGATGACTTCTTTTCTTAGAAGAGAGTGCTGTGTTGTAGAGCAGATTTTAGGATTTTAAAACATTGCGAGATTGTAGGTAAGGAAGGTGTAAAAGGTAACAAACGAAGTCTTTAAAGGCAGCAGCAGCATCACACAGGTATGCAGACAGGTACATAAATTTGTTTCGTATGGTTAACAGGGGTAGGAAGGAGCTGCATTGTATGTAGGAACGAATGAAGGTGAGAATTCTCAAGGGTTGTTGGATTCATATGTATAAAATAAACCTTAAATTGTACATTGTTACGGTTGTAGGGGTCGGATAGACTTGTTGTAGGGAAGGTATTTGTATGTATGTATGTACATGTAGATAAATGCCTTCTGTGTGTAAAGGCCCTGTGTCAATTTTTGTACCAATACTCTGCATGCATGCAATACTTTTTGAAATTATTTATTACGAGAATTTTCAAATTCAGAAAGTCAATTTTTCATAATTTAAAATTGACTGTGTGACAATGATAAACTCGCTATGAACACATATTTTAGATTTTTTTATAAAAATTTGTAAAATAGAGAAATGTTTGGCATGATAACTGGGATTATATGCCCGAGGCAGAGTGGGCATGGTCATGTATTTATTGATCTATTGATACAAGTCTTTGTTGAGCCGTTTTAAAAAATTATATGCAAATTACTTGTACGGTACTTAATAATTGAGAGAGATTAATTTATGAGTCGAATTCCTCCATAATTTCATGTTACATGAAAATTACTCGCTTTTTTTTAGATGAGTGAGAAGCAATCCAAAGTGAAACGACGTCTCAGTTTTATTTTTCGTCTTCTCGTTGACAAATGTTTTTCCAGAAACAAACAAACCTTAGATGCGACGTGATTTTTCTGAATGGAAATGAAACCACGGGGGGCACAGAGTCTGCTGGTAATTAAATTATTTACCTGAATTCTCCGTATTTTGCCCCCTTTTTACTTAAAACTACATCTCTCGTCGTCCCCATTGTTGCACTAATCCTTCCAAATCTGCATTGTATTTTTAATCCCACGACCTTTCTCCGAGTCATGTCGTATTCACACATTTTCCATTATTTCGTCAAATTGTTGCTCATAAATTCTTCGTCACATGACACCAGGTGCAAAAAATACGTAACAAAGCATTGCCACCAGTCGACAACTCAACTGAAAAAGTGGACTGATTTTTTGGAGACATATTTATTTTCAATCCAACCCACGCTCAACATTTATAATTTTGGAAACAATTCCAAATAAACAGCAGGCAGCCGAGCGACATAAAATGCAGATAAAAGTGGTAACAACGTTAAATTAGCAATGCATTTAAATCTTTAAGATGTGTCTGTGTTTTCCAGTCAAGTTTGGCATTTGCATGTATTTACATACACCCGAAAAACTGCATACATAACAAGAATCTGTCTCTGACAAGAAAAGTTTCATCTTATTTTTGCAACCTTGAACCCGAATCTCTTCTTTATTTAACAAAATGTTCAACTTCAACATTTGTCAACCTACAAGACTTACACAGAACTTCTGGATAGAATATCTTAAAAACTTATTTGCATAGCGCAAATATTTTAAGAAATACATAAACGTCATAAAAATGCTGCAAAAAATTGTAAAATTCGTGATTTTTTTAAATTTCAAAATTATGACACCTGATTTGATATGCATGCAAAATATAAAATCTCTTTAAAATAGTGGACTCATTTTTAACCGAAAAAAATGACCAAACCCACCAAAAGATCACAATTGAATCATACATGACTCGCATTCACAGCGTGTAAAACTTGGTGTAAAAGTGAAACACGAATCCCGAGCTTAATATGTAGCGTAATAAATATATACCAGATTTCTGCTTTCTTGATATACTATTTCCTTTAACAGAATGGTAGCGTCCAGTCATTTTGAAAATTTTAGAATTTATAATTTCTCCAATTTCTCAACTGGTTTTCATAATTTTAATTAGTTTTCATAAAATTTGATAGGTTCACCAATTTTACGATATAACGTATGCATAATCCTGCCCAGATCCGATGTGGATGAAACAATTGTAAAGTCGCAATTAAAAATTGAAATTGATTCAAAAGTGAGAAAAAATTTGGAAAAGTTTAAACGTCGATAAAAGTTTTTTTGATATTTTATTATTCCCGATTTATTTACGAAATTTGAGATTTTTTGGACTTTGGGCAGACTCTGTTAGTCCGAGTGAGGCAAAGACCCTCAACTTTTAACACATCCCAAAAACTTGTTAAAAAATATTACAAAGTTTTTTAAAAGATGATTTTATAATTGAGCAAAGAAAGAGCGAGATAACAGGGAATTTCTCAAATTAGAAATTATTTTTAAATGAGGATTCTAAAATAAGGAGTTGAGGGCTTGTCGAAAATTGTCGAAAATTATTACGACTTTGTCGAGAAGACTAGATATTTTGAGAAAGAAAAGTATTTGGTCTTCATTTTTTGAAAAGTTTCATAACTTGCGAAATTTCTGTAAAGAAATTAGTGTAAGTTTTTGAGCGAAAAGAATCCAAATTTTTAAATCTGAAAGGTAATTAAATTAATACAAGTTTATTTTTATTTGTTTGATTTTTATATAAAAATTCCCATTTTTCTTCTTTGTTACAGGTTTTGTGAAATAATACGTTGGGATTGTTGCAGAAATAAGAAAACATCAGCCGTTTTATCGACCCTGCAAGTGGAATATCTTCCTCTTGTTCCTGTTTTTATTTTGCTTATCGCCACTTCGTCGCGCAGGTCGCGTCCATCCCATCTTTCACTACGGAGGGTGGGAGTAGTATGCGCTACCCGGGCTCTGAGGGCGAGGGGACCTCCTCCTCCAACAATGGGGGTCAGACCAACAACAAGGACGGTGGCGATTCTTCCAAACCGAAATACTCCATTCCCGGCATTCTACACTTTATCCAGCATGAATGGGCCAGGTAAATAACGTAATTTTTATGTCCGTTGAAGCGTTGATGATAAGTAAATAAATTATTTTCACCAGATTTGAAACCGAGCGAGCCTCCTGGGAACTAGAACGCGCCGAGTTATCGGCACGAATCGCATTTCTTCAGGGGGAGCGTAAGGGACAAGAAAATCTAAAGAATGATCTCGTCAGACGGATCAAAATGTTGGAATACGCCCTAAAACAGGAGAGGTGAGAGTGTAGTTAGTGTCTAAACTTTAATTTATCATTGCCTAATGTATTAATTGACAAATCATCCATTATTTACAGGGCAAAGTTCCACAAACTAAAATTTGGCTCGGATCCATCCACTGGTGGTGAAGCGACCAAAGCCACCGAATTGGAACCAGACCCACCCGAATTACAATCCGCGATTGGTACCGATGAACCAATTACTTCTCAAGTCTCGTGGCGACAAGGGAGACAGCTATTGCGCCAATATTTACAAGAAATTGGATATACGGACACAATTATTGATGTAAGATCGAACCGGGTGCGATCTCTGTTGGGTTTGGAGGGTGGAGAGCAAGGGCCACAACAGGAAAATGGGGGCGAAGGCAGTGGTGGGTTTACAACGAGGGAAAAGAGGAGGGATCACGACTTGAGTGGGAGAAGGTTGTCACAACCCCCACAGAAAAAGAGCCTCGCCGAGGCAATGATGTTGGAGGCGGAGAGCGCCGTGATGGCGAATTTCGACTTCCTCTCTGGCGGGATGGATGTCGATGACGATGACGACATGGGCGATGATTTAGATGATGTTGATGAGGATAGTGCGCCGGCAAAGGGTGGTGGCAAGAGAAAGGGGAGAGGGGTGAGTAAAACATTACTTAATCATAATTAAATTAATATAATATTGTGACCATAAGTAAATATTTTGCTTGTGCGCAGGGACTTGGGGATGAAGTTGATGCTGAAACAGAAGAAGTTTTAAACGAGTTCAGTTTCCTCGGATCGGAAGAAGTGGGCGTTGGGGGTGAAAAGAGTGAAGACTGGAGTTACTCGGGTGGCGTTGGACGAGGTGGGACGGATGACGTCAGTTTAGGCGAGCTGGCCCAGTTGACGGTTAATAATGATGCAGATGTTAGCATGGATGTGAGCACGACACGGTTTTATTATTATTTCAAACCTTCATTATTACTACCGCATTTTAAAATTTCAAAATCTCTCAGACAATTAATTCTGAGATAGTTTTTACAATTAATGCGGAAATTAATCATTTCCGGCAGTACTGCCATCATTTTTAACAATTTGATGATGGAATTGAGTTCGGGAACAGTTTAATATCATGGAATGATGACAGTGATGATTGATTTTGGATTTGTTGTTCTCTGTGTTTAGGTCACACTGGACAAGGAAGCATTTAGAAAAACATGGATGGCAAAATATTCGCTGAGAAGTCATTTCGATTCTGTTCGTGCTCTTGCTTTCCACCCCGTTGAACCCGTTCTTGTAACAGCTTCCGAGGATCATACCCTCAAAATGTGGAACTTGCAAAAGACAGTGTCCGCCAAAAAGTGAGTTGAAAAGTAACCCATTTAAAGATCAATTAAGTAATTTGAATTCTATAGGAATGCATCACTTGACGTCGAACCATTATACACGTTCCGACAACATAAAGCTGCCGTTTTAACGCTGGTCATGTCTCCCAGTGGGGAGCACGTCTATTCGGGCAGTGTGGATGGGACAATTAACATGTGGACGTTACCAAGTTCTAATATTGATCCATACGATAATTTTGGTATGAGTGAACGGATAAATTAACTCTGCCTTAACAATTCAAAATTTTAAGTGATAAAAGTTGAATAACTTCACCATTATTGCAGACCCAACCGTTTTGAAGCGAAGTTTTACAGATCACACCGATTCTGTGCATGGATTAAGTCTACATTCTCAAAAATCTCAACTACTCTCTGGTTCTGCGGATGGCAGCGTTAAGCTTTGGGACGTTACCGCAAAGACGCCATTGTTACAGAGTTACACGTCAGACTCTGGTATGTTTTTTTATGAAAAGAATATGCAATTTTGCCAGGAATTTCACAATAATTTGTATTTTTAGACGGAATTCCCACCGCAATGGACTTTGTCCGCGACGAACCATCCCACATGGCCGTTGCTTATAACGCACAAGCCGTAATTTATGACTTGGAGACGAAGAAGCAGCTAATTCGCTTTGAATGTGAAGGAGTCGGTGGGATTAACAGGATCATCTGTCATCCAACACTCGCCCTAACAATTACAGCACATGAAGATAGACAGATCCGATTTTGGGATAATTCCACTGGGAAAATGCTACACGCCATGGTCGCCCATTTAGATGCTGTCACGTCGCTAGCATTAGATCCTCACGGGTTGTATCTTCTATCAGGAAGTGAGTGGTGCCTTATTAAAAAGCCTGGATTTTATTCCCAATATTCTCTGACACGCTTTTATTTCCAGGTCACGATTGCAGTGTTCGTGTTTGGAACGTCGAGTCGAAACAATGTCTCCAAGGTTGGGAAATATTTTATTATTGCGCCGAACTAACAATGGAGGTCTCCCAGCGTATGCTCTCCGATTTTGAGCAAACTAGTGTCAATCGATCAAGGATTTAATTAATATGACATTAGCAAATATCTCCGTCAAACCTGCGCATTGAGAGCTGGGAGATCATGCCTTTTGCAAATTTCACATTAACTAAATTTATGATTGATTTGCACTAATTTGGTTAAAATCACAGATCATACGCTGGGAGACCTCCATTGTAAATATCACATAACTATTCGTCACTAACTATTTTTGCTACATTTTATTCCAGAAATGACAGCGCATCGCAAGAAATTTGATGAAGCTATACACGATGTTTCTTTCCATCCTTCAAAACCATTTATCGCATCGGCTGGAGCGGACGGTTTAGCAAAAGTTTACGTTTAATGAATACTTTAACCAATTAGGAAATTGAAATAATGCAACTTTTTTGTGTGTGGTTTGGATTGTTTAGCCATTTAATTTTAATAAGTTTTAAACAATTTTATCAATTCAATCCCATATACATAACTTCTTTTTTTATAAAGAATTATGCGAAACATACCTCAAACAACTGACTCACCAGACGTATACATCACCTTATTAATTTTGTGCTAATTAATTACCATAATATGATTTTGCTGTCCAGTTTGCATGTGTTTTTTTAAGATTATCCCGTTGGGGTAGGAATTTAACTTGTAAAAAAATAGTAATAACAAAAATGAGTAGTCTGAAACTTAAAACTGGGATTTCTTTCGAAAAATTAATTGAATTCTTCGTTTCACGAAAATATGCAGGAGAGAGATAACTATGTAGGTTTGACCTTATCAACCAACCAATCAAACCATGAGTAAATCCAGCTCATTCTTAGACTTGTAGGGAGAGAGAGAGACGCTTCCAAAATTGACGTTTAATAAGAGAAGCAAAAAAAGCTATGCAGTTAAATCTAGTAAAATAATTGTCGAACAAACAAATAGCAAAACTATAAATGAATTAAAATTAGATAGACAGCGCTTACAAACAAAAGAAGTAGATTCTCGGATGCAACTAGATCATTAATTAATTGTGCAAATAATAAGTGACCACCGCCGCAATTACTTCCATATATACCGACCGCTGACAAACTAAATAAATACCCCAATATATTTAAATGCCTCTGCCTTTATATGTATCAACATATTCTCGTAGTGTCGCTCCTGCTGATATTAACTAATTAATAATTGTATACAGTTTAAGAACCATTATTTATGCACACAATAACTTGATAACTTGTTTTACGAAAAAAAATATGTATACATTTTTGGAAAATCTTGACTTGCTTGGCTTTTCTCTCTCACTCTCCTCAATCACTCACTCACTCACTATTTCTTATAATGTATGAAGAAGAGTCATTTTAAGGTGATTATATGTAAATTACTTAATTGGTCCAATCCTCCACTCCACTCCTCCGGTTTAAATAGTCGTTATTTAAAAAAAAGAATAGTCCTTAACAAGCTCCGAAGAAGAAGATATCACGAATTTACTTACCTACTAATCGTAAGTAAGCTGTTTAACAAGAATAATATGCAAAACATAGATAACCCTGCCGAATAATATGTACGATAACCTCCTCCAAGGAAAAAGATGTATTATGATGAGTTATTTATGCATTCGTGACTCTCTTTTTCCTCGAAATATAATGAATTCTCTAGTGACAAAAACAATGCGTGTAAATAAATACATATTATTTAATTGATAATTTGGTCTTTGTAAAGGTTGTCTAAAAACTGAGTTATGTATGTAGCGATATTATTGGTTATTATTATGTGTATAGCTGAAAAGATATGAGGGAAGCGTGTAAGTATAAGGAATCCAGCATAATAAGTACATGTATACATAATTATTATTAAGTAATCCATTAATAAATATGTGATGATGAGATGACTTCCCGAATAAATACTGAAAAAATCGGATTTTGCGGTTATTTAAGTGATTTTATTTTTCACCAAGTTAATAATCCATATTTCATATTTACTAAATGAAATTCAGAATAAATCCTGAAAAAATCGGATTTGCAAGTGAAATGGCTTAATTCTTCATGGAATTATGGACACAAACAATATTTCATACATATTTTAACTATGTAGGAAATACATACGCTTACCAAATATGAAACCCATCAATGATGGTAAACTTGGGCTAGAATTACTATCGAAAGGTTCAACTTGACCCATTTCTATTGACTCGTACGAAGAAATAATTATAATAATTAGATTCCTTTGGTTATGCATGCATAGCAATTATTAAATATTTGTGGGTTGTATAATTCCTTCTTCTTCTTCTTGAACGATGCCACCACAATGTCAAAGCTTTATTCTTGAGTTACGCTAAAAATTGGTGATTAGATATTGCATGACATCTGGTTTGCTTTGGTTTTTTCAATGCAAAAGGTGAAGTGGAAGTCATTCAGGTGAATAAAACCTGTCTCAACTCACTTATTTAACTTTTACGCATGAAATGAACGATGATGATCAAGGATAGCAAGATACATAGATATTTTGTATAATGCATTTTATGATAATAGATAATTTGACGTGTGTAATGATAATGTACTGATAATGTGAAGTATGAGTGTCAACAATAACGCATTTTACTGTTCCTAACACTGATGACTGACAAGTTAATGACCGACATTTATGTGCCACATTATGTAAATACAGTCCAGATTAATCAATCAATAAGAATGTTACGAACAAAAATTATGAAGCATCATTAATTAAATATACACATATCTAAAAAAAAATTGTGCTATGAATAAGTATGCATGGAATTGTAATAACGTACACTTTGTCAAGGGTCGCTCTAAAATTTACGTTTTTGGCTGTAGTACGAAGGAAATTAAATGACTATAGGCGTTTCGGTGAAACGTGGAAGTTTTCGGTGAAACGGTGTGTTCTTTCGGATAACGTGATATGAAAATACCCGAAGAAATTGGACTTTCTTTCTCGACATAAACTTTCCACCTGTAATCGTAAACATAAAAATATCCATTTAATTCTTAAACTCGATATTTAATGTACGCAATATTTAGGTAAATTAGAATTGACCAAAGTATGTTTAACCTGTCATTTCCAGATATTACATATAGATGCCAAAATTTGTAACACATAATGGACAAGGACCCTCAAGAGAATGAGAGCCCTTGTTCTTCACAGCATCGTTAAGGTGTTCCAATCGCTAAGACGGAAGATACGAAAATTCGCTTACGAAATTAATAGCTTAAATGGAACTGTTCATCCTGATTTGCTCATGTATTGGAAAGAGAGCGACGACAGTTTGCTGAAAGTCGAAAATAGCCAATTTAAATTATTTAAATATAATCTTCGAAGCCAAACTATTATTTACCACTATAGTTTATTTTATTTTGGCGTAAAAATTAATCAATTTCTCAAATTCTAGACATCTTAATGAACGAGTTTTCCCCAAAAATAAAATAAACTAGTGTTAAATAATAAACTTATTCGGCTAATTCGCCTAACGTAATCGTGGATCACGTGGAACTCTTATTACAAATGGAGCAGTATGCTCGTAATTTTGATCGAACTAGTGTTAATTGATCACAAATTTAATTAGTATGAAATTTGAGAAAAACACGATCTCCCAATGCACACGTTTGGCAGATATTTGCATCCGAAGAGGAGAAAACGCGCAGTAAATTTTGTAAGTGTAAAATTTGTCAACTTTAGGGTGCGTTTTTCCTCTTCGGATGCAAATATCTCTGCCAAACGGATTGGGAGATCGTGCATTTTGCAAATTGCGTTTGTGATCGATTGATACTAATTGACCAAAATCGGCAAATTCTACAATTCTACAAAATCGGCAAATCTAAATTCTACAAAAATTCATACCCATCATACCCGAAATTATGATCACATGCTAATAGAAAAATCATCATTTTTCTTAGGTGGGGCAAAGAAAAACAATGGAAAGAAAAAGAAATACAAATACAAAACTGCTAAAAAAGTCCAGTTCACCTAATTATGCATTTAGCCCCCCCCCATCTCAGTCATTTTCTTTTGAAAGTGTCGATGTGTCGATGTCGACCCTCCAGAAATAAACCCTCCTCTCCTCGTGGATGACGCACAATGATATGTACAAATTAATTTTGAAGTAAAATAAATATTGAAAAGTATCCTCTTTCATGGTGCTCTTTATCTTCATGCAAAGTTTCATTAGCATCAAGACAACATTTCTACTTAACATCACTCTGTACTAATACATCATCCATGCTGCTGTGTACACTATTTACATGCCAAAGTTACCACATAAAAGTGCGAATCATGCTGAGACTATATACATATTTTCGCTAATAGTGCAAAACTGCCGTGTGTATGTTACACATTGTTCTCTTGACTCTTGCATGAAAATGAATGAATGTGCAATAATGTAAATTATTTAATGTGTTCCTTACTTCTTCTTCTTGGTGAAATGACCTTCCTTCAATTCAATACTAAACTATGCTCTCTCAACAATTTTACTCTATTTTCGTCAGTGTACAGTACAGTACAGGACAGAAATGACTTGTCACTTTTTATTGTGCAGGGAACAATAAAGATGTGGAGAAGCGTACATAAATAGTATGGGACATTTTTGTAAGGAGGAATTCGCTTTATGACGACAGTTTTACAACCACATTGGCATTATTACGGTAGCGACAACAGTTTTGATATGTGTAAAAATTTCTGGAATTTTTAACTATGCATTGTTTAAACGGAATGAACTTGATTTTATTTTTACGGGGTTGATTGTTAAAAATTGTGCAAGAATTGTGCATCAGTCCTTAAATTCCTTTCGAGTGTAATCAGTTTATGTAACTTTAAGGAGGAAGCTACATCATATTTCTGAAAGTTGTGTCTGTCTGTGCTGCGTGTAAGCAAAATAAGAGGAAGAGTTCTCTATTTTAGAATAAGTAGTGTATATACTAATTGTAAGTTTGGTTATTTTAATACTTTTGCTAATGGTCAATTATGGTCGTGAACTTGACTGCGGAACTATAAACATGCAACGCGTCTATGTACACATGGACCCGAATAACTAGATAACTTAACTTGTTACCATTTCGTGGCGCTGATTTGTTTTGCTTTTGGTGCCATGAAATGATAAATGATTGTTGACTTTGACTTTGAAGTTGAAGTGAAGTGAAGGAAGAACAAAAAGAAGAATAGATTTAGACATCATCATCAGTTCCATGAATTTGTGGTCAAGTATTGTAACCACCGACCGATAGATACCAAGGACGGATTTTACAGGCAGATAATACGGATGCATACTTACTTTGAAGTTGGATGGATGGATGGAAGTGAAATTGTTGTGATTTTAGATAGATCCATCCATTGATATTTAGTTTAGTTTAGTTAACTTCTGTATGCTGGATTGGATTTCATGGAACGGATTAAATTTAATGGGTTGCATGCATGTGAACTTGTAAACTAGTTAAACTGCTTGGTACCTACGATTCCATGCTACATATGCATGTGTTACATATCCATTGCCGTTTCCATTTATCGGAATTTCCTTGGTTTGGTAACAGTAGGAGAAAAACAAGCAGTCCGGACGGGACGATATTTTTTAAAGTCGGACAAATACCAGTACGTCAGGTGTGTCCGAGAAGATGAGTCAATAAATACTAGTCCAGTCTAGTTAAGATAAGATTACGTGCAGGGTTTTTAGTCAGATTTCAAGTGCAGAGAAGAAGATGATGTGATTTTATATATAATTCTGAGAAAGAGAAGTTTTTAGTTTTGCTAGCAGTGTGGATTTTATTTACAGTGTGAATAAGTGTTTATTTGTTCACGGTGGTAATTAGCGAGGAACAAGTCTTGAACTTTACTTTGCCGAGTGAGATTAATATGAAATTCGCATAAATCTGTGACGTTAACCGGTTGTGTGTGTGTGTGATAGTAGTTTTTTTATGGGACACGTAATAAATCAAGATATCTGTCGGGATTAAGTTATATGAATTTTGTAACGGTCTTCAACGCGTTAACATTTCGGATTATGAGACAATAAGTGAATCGTGACAACATCTACGAGTGGTCACCGTCACATTTTTTGTGCAACTTTGTGCGTCAGTGAAGTGTAAAAAATTCTGCAGTCATTTTTTAACTGAGAAAGAAGTGCATGCAAATTTACAAAAATGCGAACCGGCATCATTTTACGTGGTGCGGTGTGTTTTCTTCTTCTACTGTTACCGGATTCTTTTACCCAGGAAGAGGAGAACGTAAGGACAATTTTATTTTATTTTTTTACATTAGAAAAATTCCTTAAAATTTTGAAAATTTTGAAAATTCCATTATAAAATTCCAGCAATAACAGTATTTAAGAATCATCTCTGATTGTTTTCTTGAACAATTAAGGAAAATAATGACAAATTTATCGTAAACTTTACATTAGAAAAATTCCTTAAAATTTGGAAAATTCTGAAAATTACATTCATGCAAAATTCCAGCAATTTAAAAGCAATAGTTAAGAATCATCTTTGATTGTTTCTTTTTGTATTATCCAAGTCAATGCTTAATGAGCCATGAATAAGCATAAAGCTCGAAATAGATCTCTTCATTATATTGCACACCGGAAATACATTGACGCCATGATAATAATAACACTACGAATAATAAGTAATTCTCACACACGCATGGACATAATTATATTTTCATTCATCCGAAAGCAACATTGTTCGTAGATTTATTGACGTTGGTTTATATAAGTTTCCGCAGTTTTAAGTAAATAATAGACATTTCCATTACTTAATTTAGAACGTACAGGCTTTTATTATTTGCTCATTTATAAATAAATATCTCTCCACTGGAGTAAAATGTGGTCATAATTGCGCGTTCCATTACATTCCAAGTTTCAATTGATGTTGAAACGAATAATGCCATAATCGAATCCTTCATTAAATTGAATCATCAATTATTCGCGTAATTATTGCCTCCAGCAAAGCTTTGAGAGAGAGGAGAGGAAATCATGAAATTTAATGACCGGCTTGGTTTAAGCATGAGAATTCTGAGTCATACTAATTCAATAGCATTTTTTGTACGAGTTTGTGTTACACAAATGTAGAGCAATCTTCTGGTGGTTTGTACAGTATTTTAATGATGATGACGAGAGGAGTTATTGGGAAGCTGGAGAAACCTGGAATTTTTTTTGAAGAATTGTTTCATTCTATACATTAGAATGAAACAAAATCCGTAAATTTCCGTAAATTTCCGTAAATTATCTACCGTAAATTATCTACACAAATTTTATAAATGGTAAAAATCTCCAAAAATAAGATTCGACTACAAAATTATGCATATTGTAAACTTTTTTAACCCGATACGAATTTCGGATTCAATAGTATCGTTTTCTGTACGAATTTGTGTTACATAAATGTACGTATGTACCAATCTCCTGGACTGTACAGTATTTTAATGATGATGACATGAGAGGAGTGATTGGGAAGCTGGACAAACCTGAAGTTTTTTTAAAAAAATGTTTCATTCTCTATCATACAGTCTTACACCATGATATATCTAATCCAATTTTAATAAATGCTAAAATCACTACAAAAACAATATTCAACTCCAAAATTATGCATATTGTCAACTTATTTTAATCCGATACCAATTGGATTACATACGGATTTAATAATATTACTTTTATATGACTTTGTGTGGCATAAATGTACGTGTACAGTATTTTAATGATGATGAGATGGCGAAACTGGATAGACCTGGAATTTTGGATTTTCATTGCGAGTTATCTAAACTAATTCTAATAAACCAAGCCCTCTAAAAAAACAAGATCCGACTACAAAATTATGCATACTGTCGACTTGTTTTAATACTTACACGGAAGTTTTAGTGAAAAACGAGAAAAAAAGTTTCCTTCATTTGTCAATATTTCGAATGTTATCTGCAATCAAGACGTGCGTAGAAAAAATTATCGCAAAGATTTTTAAACATATCCTGGCTTTTCCACGAATACATCTAAACAAAGTTTAATAATGCTCACCAATCCATAAAAACAAGATGCGACTTCAAAATTATGCATATTTTATTATCAACTTTTTAAAACAATTTATAGGATGTGAATGACACAGTTCCCATCGTCAACGGCATACCACCAGTGACGACGCCTGTGATGACGGCAAGTCTGCCCCCACATTCTTCACCCGCAACGCCACAATTGCCCCTCTGCGTGACGTACGGGTCCTGTGGGGAAGTCGGGGGTGGAAGTAGTGAGACTGCTTGTGTCGCATCGCACCCACCTCGACCCCTGGAACCAGACTATATCGACGTTTTATCCGCATTCTGTCCCGAATTTTTGGAAGAACAAGACTCTCGGCTGTTTTGCTGCGATGCGGAACAAGTCCTCTCGCTGGGGGAAAAGCTCGGCTTGGCGTCCGCCTTTGCGGGAAAGTGTCCCTCTTGTTTGCGAAATCTACGCCAAATGTTTTGTCATCTGGTGTGTTCACCGAAACAGAGTGAATTTATGAGGGTGACGAAAACGGTGAGAGAGATTTACAAAAATCATGATATGAAAAATCATAAATTATATATTTACGATGGAGGTCTCCCAGCGTATGCTCTGCGATTTTAAGCAAACTAGTGTCAATCGATCACAAACTTAATTAATATGTAATTTGCAAATGACACGATCCACCAGTGGGTAGGTTTGGCAGAGATATTTGCGTCCAAAGAGGAGAAAACGCGCTCTAAAGTTGCAAATTTGACACTGTCCTAACGTCGTTTGCAAAATTAGTAAAATATTTGCGACTGCTTGATATCAAGTCGATACTAATTTACTCAAAATCGGAAAGAATACGCTGGGAGACCTCCATTGTAAGCAAATATGTACATATGTAATTCGATCGTGTGTTTTGCATGCAGGCCGATTCGAAATTGGAGTCCAACACTTCCGGTGAATTTCTTCGATATGCAGTTCAAGGTGATATCTTCCTGGGTCAGGAATACATTGAGGAAACATTTGAAAGTTGTAAGGGTGTGACGGCAGGTAAATACATATACACACACATAAAATGCTAACAGTGACGTAAAAAAATTATGTGTGCGTCCACAGGAAGCGGGCTGGTCATGGATATTTTTTGCGGAAAGTGGAAATCTGCCGGATGCAATCCTAAACGTTGGTTTGATTTCGTCGGGAAATCGAGCAGCGGAGTGGTCGCGTTTGACCTGAAAATTAACTTGCTTGCGATACAAGAAGAGAATTATAATCGGGATGGAAATGCGGAAATGATGAACTTTCTCAGCGTCAATGGAATGACACCGTTCGCATTTAAAAATGCGACACGATGTGACCAAGCACCGCCGGTAAGAAGATTCAGAGGTCATCAATAGAGTGCTAATAATTTGACCTTGACCTTGATTTAATTAGGGCGAAGTTGTCTGCGATTGTGTCGACTGTGCCGCCATGTGTCCAGTGATGCCTAAACCGGAACAACACCGGTACTCGAGTTTCCTTACTTCCGACGGGATGCTGTTCTTGATGGGGGTGTTGGCCGGGTTAGGTTGCGTCATAATTTTGACTGCTGGGATTATTATTTACGTCCAGAGGAGGAAGGCCAAGAAAAATTCGTTCTCGTTTTCTCAGGGTAAATTTTACACAATTTTGATGTGATGACATATAATTAATTGTGCCACTTGCAAGAAATAACGTCAAAGAAAGTGGTTTTCTGGAGAATTTCTTGCACTTTCCGGCAGTTTCTTGCACGTTGCATTTCGTTTCTCAATGCAAAAAATGTAGTAAACCCGCAAGAAAAGAAAGACTGAAATTAATTATTAATCTTTCTGAGTAGAAATGAAGTCCAAATTGGATTATCCTAACGAGAAGAAGGTGGACCATTCTTCATCGTCTGGAAATAACGATCCCGCACTCAACAATTTCTTTAAAAGGGTCGCATTTTGTAAGATTTTAACATTTTTGTCTCATTTTGAGGCTCCAAAATAGTGAAATTCTGTCATCTTCCAGATTGCGCGTCCAACCCCTGGCGCATAATTTTCTTGGAACTCATCCTCATCGCCCTTCTCACGTATGGAATGCGTTTCTCCTCTCTGGAAACGGACCCTGTCGCATTATGGACGCCACACAATTCTCGAGCCAGATTAGAACGAGACTATTTCAACGATAAATTTGGCTCGATCTACAGAATTGAACAGCTTATCATTTCCGCGAGACCAGGACGTGTCAGCGTTGTCAATTATACTTCACCCGTGGATGGGGCACAAACATACGGACCAATTTTAGACCCCGACTTCATGCGGGGTGTGGCTGACTTGCAACGCAAAATTCGAGAGGTAGACATACAGACTTTTGAGTTTCGCTGTGGATTTAACCAATTTCCAAAACCGGTTTTAACCAGTTTTGGACACAGAATTTGGCGTCCAAAGTGTCCAAAACAGAAAATATGGCAAACTGTTACAAGTTCAGCATTACAGAATGTTTAAAATTTCTTAGTTTGTTATAAGAAAAAAAATTTGTTAAACCAAAAGTTTTCAAAATTTCGTGGTATTACACACCAACTAAAATGTTCAAAATTGATGGGTGATTGAATATCTGTGCATAGATTTGCAAAAAATCGTTAATAAAGAACTTGCAACATGCCTCATATTCCAGTGTTGGACATTCTGGACAGTTTTTAATGCTTTGGATGGTGCTCACTCAGTGTAAAACCTTTTTACCTAACTGTTGGATTTAATATAATTTAAAAACTTGTCACAGATTCGAACCGCGTCTGGTGTGACGTTGGATTCCGTCTGCTTCAAACCTCTCTCTCCGTCCAAAGAGGAATGCATGATTCTAAGTTACCTCGGATGGTGGCAAGATTCTCTGCCCAACTATGCTCTGCAAGTGACCAACACTTCTGGGGACAATTACCTCGACCACTTTTCCCTTTGCAGTGATAATTCCTACGCAGGAGGATGCTTTGGTCCGTATGGAGGACCCGTGTCCCCATCAACCGTGTTGGGCGGCTTCAGTCGAACCAGTGGTAAAGTATCTCAATTTTAAGCAGTGCTTCTGGTGCAAGTAACCACTTGCATGAAATAAATGCAAGAACGTGGTTTCTTGTAGCTATTTGGACCCATAAAAAATTGTAATTTTTCTTTAGACGGACAACCCGATTATAAAACGTCGCGATCCGTCCTGGTGAATTATTTCGTGTCGGATTTCGTGGAGAGGGAGAAGAACTTGAAGGCTCTCGAGTGGGAGGCGGCGTTCATCGCATTTCTCAAGAATTACAGTGCCCTCAATGCTGAGGGTTTGTTCGACGTGAGGTTCACCTCTGCGAGAAGTATTGAAGACGAGATTGGTGCGGCGAGTAGAGGCGAAGTCGGAACAATTGCGATTTCCTACCTCGTCATGTTCATCTATATTTCCGTGTCGTTGAGGGATTCCTTCAACGTGTGGTCAGCGAGGGGGTGGTTCGTCGAGAGCAGGCTGCTCTTAGGAGTCACGGGAATCCTTATCGTGCTGACATCGGTACATAATTCTATTTAACGTAGGCCTTGATGACTCATCACCAAATCGTCAAAATCATCACATTTTTAATCATTACTCGGCCCTGGGAATTTATTTTAAAAATCCGGACGCCAAATTTGTAATCAGTGAGTTGATTAATCATGAGTTTTTTTAGCCAGTTTCGATGAGTTCCAATTTTTCTGAAGGCTTCTTAAATTTGAAATCTCCTGCCTCAAAAACTGTCAAAATCTGGAGTGTATACCTATTTTTTAATCGACAACTATCTGCTTTACAAATTTGTCATTTTGTCATCGTGTTTTGTTTAAAATCTGTCGGTCAGAATTTTAAAATAAATTTTCAGAGCAGACAATTGGTTAAAAATGTGCTGATTTTGTGGTGATAGGTCATGTGAATCCTACATTAACATGGAATTTTCAGAAACTGATTAATTTAAATTGATGTCCAGGTCTCCTCTGCCGTCGGACTTTTCGGTTATTTCGGTCTACCCGCAACCCTAATTATTATCGAAGTTATCCCCTTCCTCGTCCTGGCCGTTGGTGTGGACAACATTTTTATCATGGTGCAACATTTCCAGAGAAGTCAGCCTGTGCCGTTAGAAACGATGGAGGCACGCCTGGCCAGAGTTGTGGGGCACGTGGCACCCTCAATGGTGCTGAATTCTTGCACCGATGCGGCCTGTTTCTTCCTCGGTGGGTGGAAAATTGAGGGCGGAAAGATGTAAATTGTTCTCACAGCGTGTTAATTTTTGCTGACCTTAATTTTTAGGTGGCATGTCTGGCATGCCGGCGGTACGAGCATTAAGTTATTACGCCGGAGTTGCCCTCATTTTTAACTTTTTGCTCCAATTTACCCTCTTCATCGCCGTGTTTGCATTAGACACGAGAAGAATGGAGGACAACAGGATGGATATTTTGGTTTTGTGAGTCTTGCGACTAATAAATATTTTAAAAAATTATGCCGGAATTTTGAATCCCTTTCTCTGATTTTAGTATAAAATTGAAAAGTGGGAAGGGCGAGGAACAAGAAGCTCTGACCAAAAAGAGAGGAAAGGGTATGTTGTACACCATCTTTAAAAAGGTCTGGGCCCCACTGCTCCTCTCATTTCCGGTCAGAATACTCGTTCTCATCGTATTTTTCGCGTGGGGATGCATTTCTCTCGCTCTGGTGCCCAGAATTGACGTTGGGTTGGATCCGGAAACCGTACTGCCAGAAGATTCCCATGTGTCACAGCATTTTAAGGTGGGTACCAATTTTTCAGGAATTTATGTATGTGTACAATTTTTTTTATTATGAAGAAAATTTGATCTGTAGGCCCTCTTGGAAAATAGTGACACTGGTTTTCCCCTCTGGTTCGTCCTGAAGGCGACGTCAAATCCTCCCCTGGACTTTTCATCACCTTCTGTTCAGTCCTTAATTCGTGGATCTGGTCAGAATGCAAACCCATTTTCACTCATTGGTCAAGTATCTTCGGGTAATTTGTGCACTATAATTTTGTTATTGCATAATTCTACATTTATTTCATAATTTTATATATTTCTAGCCTCAAAATGGCCCAACGTAACGTACATCGCTCAACCTGCGCTCTCCTGGCTCGACTCTTTTACAGACTGGGCATCGTCCGATAAGTGTTGTCGGGTTAATACCACTACCGGCAAAATGTGCCCCAGTGATAAGAAGGAAAGTCAAAGGTACCCGCTAAATATTTTCACATAACCAGAGGTCGACGCCGACCAATTTTCGGCGGGGCGGCGCGTAAAATTCGACCGGTGGCGTCGGCCTCTGAATCAAACCCATATATTTTTAACACAAATTCCTTTCTTTTGTGTCACAGAAAATGCAAATCTTGTCGGATCCGACTGACCGACGGATCTCTCTCGGGACCGGATTTTGTCCGCTATCTACCCTGGTTTTTAGAGGATAATCCATCCCTCGACTGTCCCTCCGGGGGTCACGCCCTTTTCGCCAAAGCGGTGCGATATAATTTGACAAAAATCGCCAAGAATGCAAATGAGACGACCCTGCTCTCAATTGGGGACACGTTTTACATGGCGTTTAACAAAGTGCTGAAAACTTCGCAAGATTTTACTCAAAGTATGATTGAAGCGAGGGCAATATCTCAAAATATTTCGGACACGATGAACTCCAGTAAGAATTTAGTGATTAATTAATAATTATTAATTATTATGTGTTAATTAATTATAATTAATTTGTTACAGGAGCCAACAGAACTGATCTTCACGTGTTTCCGTACTCGCCCGTGTACATTTTTTATGAGCAGTTCCTCTCCATTTGGAAGGTAAGAATTACATGGAAGTAAGATTTATTAGCATTGTGACAAATTGAAATACATCACCCATTATAACAAAAGTTTATCAGCCATGTATTCCTTGAAACCAAACTCGTCGTCTGAGACAACCAGGTCGTTCTCTTGATATTCCGCAAGTTGAGCATCTTTCTCTGCAAGTTGAGCATCTTTCTCTGCAAGTTGAGCATCTTTCTCTGCAAGTTGAGCATCTTATTCTGCAAGTTGAGCCTTTAAGAGATCCACTTCTGTAGTAACGTGTCCAACTGGGGGATGCGGTTTGGCTACCCAGTTCACACCCACTTTGGTGCAGCACTTTTGATGCTGCGTGAAGCCTCGTTGCGATATTAGTTTACAAGGGCAGTCTTTGCATCCATACTTCCCCTCACCATGACAATGCTAAAATGTACAACAAAAATACATGTCAGATTCGAATTAGATGTATGCTTATAATGTCGTGAATGTACCTTAGTATGGACGTAGAGATTGGAGGTCGAAAAGAACGACTGACCACATTGAATACAACTATGTCGTTTGACCCCGTTGTGACGATTAACGTGTTTCCTGTACTCTCCTTTCGTTTTATACTGATGTCCACAGTGCTCACATGTCCAGGGTTTGAGCTCACGATCGGGTACATACAATGTACCTTTTCTGGATGGTCCATCCAATAAACGGTCAAGTTTTCCAACAGGTTGTGAGGACACATGTTGAGCCAGGCGAGGATTGGACCTCATTTTTTCCAAAATTTTCGTCACACCTTTCTTCCCAACCGACGCCAAATTCCGATGTGAGGCCAATGTCGAGGCGGCAACCTTGTCGTGGCGTCGAACGACCGCCTTCTTCTTTTTCGCTTTTGACATGGTCTTCGCCTCCACTCCAGTCCAATAAGCCCCTTCTATATTTGGCCAGAATCCCTGCAAGTAGTAGTCCCTGAAAGATGGAAATAATGAACTTAGAAAGAGCAATGACAAGTTTGGTATTACTAGTTCGTGTCATTTTTTATAATTTGTAAATAAAATAAGACTACAAGTAGTAATCTCCTGGATTATGACTAGGAGAGACAAGGAGAGCTGAAGTTCATTCAGCCCTTGTTGAGAACATTGACGCTCTACTCGGACGAAGAGTTCAATTTCAGCTTTATATCAAACATATTCCGAGGAACGGGTCATCTAAAACGAATCCTTGTCGAATATGGCGACGAACCAAAAGATTTCAAGAAAACCGTCCTCTCTGCCATATTTTCATGCTCTGCTCAACTCAGAGAGTTGGAGTCTTTGCAATACTTTTAGTTCTACGGCGGCGTTATATTTTCATCAGACTGTGTCACATGGTTTTAAATTATACTTACTGATCAGAACAAGTTGTATCCTTGGAAATGAGGTTGTCGACGTGAATCTTTGCTGCTTGTGCCGCTGTTTCTTCCCCAGAGCACCCTTCGTAATTGCCGATAAACTTGGCGTTGCCATCCCCCTCACGTAACTCGCTATTGGGATCCTTATCCCACCACTCCATCACAAAAACTTTCGCCATTTTTTTCAAGAATCACTTATCCAAAACAACAAGGCGAGAGTAGAAAATATTTGTGCACTGAAAACTGAGAGCAAATAACATTGCATGCGTAACTAACTTCAACTGCGTAGAGAAATAGAGCAACTTGCTCGTGTTTCCTTGCTCGGAGCAAGGTGTGAGGATCAAGGATGGTTTTTGCAATGCAAATAAAATTCAAAGTATTTTATCTACACATTTAATTTTAAAAGAACAGAAATCTTAATTTAATTATTATTTGGAAGGACACCTTGGTCTCAATCTCCATCTCCTTTGTGACCGTGCTGCTCATGACGTGGGCCGTTTTGGGAGACCCGGCCGCATCCTTGATCGTTCTGGGGACGATTTGCATGATCGTGGTGGACGTGGGGGGAGCAATGTTCCTCTGGGGGATCAGTCTCAATGGCGTCTCTCTAGTTAATTTAGTTGTCGTGAGTGCAAAAAAATTGCGAATTTGTATTTAATGCAGAACTCGATGGCTCGTCGCCAGTGTTTCTTTTTGTGCGCACGAAATTATTTTTATGCATGCACGATGCATAAAAATGCATATAAACGCATAATAATGCATAAAAATGCACGAAAATGCACGAAAATGCATACAAATACATAATAATAAATAAAACGCAATTTCTTCCGGAAATTTCATATGGTCAAGAAATATTATATTTTGCTCCATTATAAAATAGAGATAAGATTCGATTATCCGAACTTCTATGCTGGTTTGAAATTTTATCACTAGAGTCAGGGCTTACCTATGTCATGAAAAATGAAAAATAGTTTTGCCCTAAAATACAAAAATGATAAGCAAAATATCAAACAATACCACAAAGACTTCCCAATTAATCGAATATTTTGAAAAAATTAAATATTCCAATATTATTTTCACGCAAATGATTTTCGTGCATTTTCGTGCATTTTCGTGCATTTTCATGCACTTTTCCGGATTTTCAATGGGTGTTATTAAACGTTTAAAAACATTTTTATGCACTAATTTCGTGCAGGTGTTTTTTAACAGCAGAAACATTGCTCGTCGCCAAAATCAGCACAATTTTAATCATTTCTCTGCTCTGGGAATTCATTTTAATCCATTTTAAAATTCATTTTGACTCATTTTATTAAAATTCATTTTAAAACCTTCAATTATTTTTCTGGTAAGTAAGACTGCTAAAAAATACATCCTTTACTAGATTGATATAAAGACTTCCAACCATTCACCCTTCAAATCTTTTACTCACTATTAACAAATGGATTTTGGATATTTTTAACAATGACGTTGAGTTTGACCCAAAAACTAAAAAAAAAATTCTGACCATTACATTTATTTTTTTCGGCATGTAATTAAAAATTAACATAGGGCTCGTCATCAAAATCAACACATTGTTAATTATTTTTGGTCAGCCTTCAGAAAATTGGAACTAATCGAAACTGGCTTAAAAACTCACCGATATTCCATTATTCAACTTACTGACCACAAAGAAGGGTATCTGTTATGGTGATCGGTTTGGGCTAAATTTTGGTTGTCCAGAATTTTCAAATAAATTCCCAGAGTCGAGAAATGATTAAAAATATGTAGATTTTGACGATCTTGTCGATGAGTCATCGAATCCTACGTGAAGGGCAGAGCCAACTTAAAAATTGTTTGTCCACAGGCTGTCGGAATCTCGGTGGAATTTTGCACCCACATAATTCACGCCTTCGTAACGTGTGAAGACGACGAGCTGGCCGGCAGTCGGGAAGGTCGGGCACGCTTTTGCCTCGTGGAAATGGGATCCTCCGTCCTGTCGGGAATTACGCTGACAAAATTTGGAGGAATTGCTGTCCTCGCGTTTGCAAAATCTCCGGCCTTTCGCGTATTTTATTTTCGCATGTATTTAGCAATAGTTTTATTTGGGGCGGTACATGGGCTCATATTCCTTCCTGTCCTGTTGTCCTTCATCGGACCAAAGGGTGCTGGTGGGGATAAGGACAAGAATGATAAGAATGAAAAGGAAACGGCGTCATGACCAAAAACTGGGTGTAAATATTATCCTAAAAAATTGTGATACTTTTATCTTTACCATCGTGGTAACAAAACTATTAGATTTAAGGAGACTCGTGTAATGCAAATATTCTGAATAAAAGTCAGTTTTATGTTAATCGACCTTAATTTTGCGGGAGAAAGCGGATGGATGCATAATTTTTGCAAATGGATATGCATTTTGTGCCTTGCAATATCATAAAAGTACAAATTTTTTCTGTCAGATCTAAATTTAGATCTAAATTTATACCACTGAAAAATCTCTCTAATCGCTTAAAGGTCATGACAATTAAATGACCTTTCTAACGCCCCTGTCCACGGGGTCATACTCCTTCATGTCGTGTCACAGCTCGCGTCTGTTTTCTTGGAATTGAGAAATTTTTGGCGTGATTACTGCGTGATTTGGCAAGATGGATATTTATTATCGTGTTCTTCTCGTGAATAATTGATGGACAGTTTGACTGAGAAATTCTGACTTGAAATAAATCAAGATCAAGATGCAATAAATGCCTTAAAACTTCAAGTCTTCGTACATACATACACTTTTTATTTAGCGATCAAATGTACCCACTAATAATTCCGTACTAAACAAACATAACTGACAAGTAAATAAAAGAGCATCAAAATCAATTAAAACCATCAAGTTTTGGATAACAAGGTACGTTGTAGAGTTCGTCTGTACCTTAAAATTCAGAGGTGAGCATGGCATTCATTTTTATGCGTCCGACTCCGAATGTGAACGGACTGGATTTCGAAAAGTGTGTAGAATTTTTACAAATTTTATTGAGGGTATCGTACCTTTTATCTGTAACAAATTTGGATGTGTTAGATTGGATTTAAAATTCAGGCATTCTATTCTAATTGATCTTAAAAAAATCGGTCCAAGTTTTTAGATTTGACCTATTCCTAAATTTTATTAGGTCAGACGGATCGTACTTTTTATCTATTTATAAAAATTCGACTTAAGAATTTTGATCGATTGGATTTCTTTACGACCCATTCGGTTGTCTCAAAAATCTCTCGATTTGTATCTCGATAAGCATCTCAAAAAATGGCGATCTAGCTCACCTCTACCTGTCTCGTTAATTATTGAGTACACTCTTAAAACAACCTGATACTGATTCCATCCCATTAATCAAGTCAGTTAGTAGTAGTTCTACGATATTACTGACGCTACTTATTAAAGTGTAATTGGAATGACCTGCCTAACGTGTACAACAATCAACGATTATGTATTTATGCTCCTACGTTGTTGTAAAACTTCTCGTAAAATGACCCGCTCTGCCCTTTTGCTACTTAATTGATGTCACTTTTTGTATTTATTTGTTCACTGGGCCAGAAAACCCAATCATTCAGTGTCATTACTCGTCAATTCGAGTGGAGTCAATTTGCCGACTTTGTGTCACCAGAAGCACGGCAGATTGCAATCTTTTTGATGCTGATGCGTCCGCCAATCTGTGCAGGCAGCAGAGTACAATGTTCTCGTTAAGTGGATGCGGACTACTGGATTTTGCTGACGATAACCTATTGTCAGAAATTAATTAACATTTGCACACACACACAGATTCGTGATGTCAGAGGGAATTGTTTGTTTGCTCTTTAGACGACGAGTGTGTGTGTGGAATATCCAGGTGAAGTTTGTTTGGAAAATTTGCAATGATATTTATTTATCGCGAATTAGGAATGGATTTATGTGTGATTTTATTAAGTAGGGTGAGCTGCTTTATGTGATCGTTTTGTCCGTCCGTCCGTCCGTCTGGAAGCAGGATATCTTTAGAACGACTCAACATAATCAAACGCCGTTTTCGCTATTTTGTGTGTAATGTTCGAAAATGGGGCTCCTGCGGTCAAGGTCAAGGTCAAGGTGATCCTGGCTGGCATGAGGTCAAATGAGAAATTGGACCTTAATTTGCATATACAGTGTCATTTGAAAGTAAATTTCTCCACTTCAACACCGTCTATTATTTTTGACCTCATTCGCTTTAACGCTACTTCTTTATATTCGTTTTCAAGGGTTTATTTCATGCCGTGGAGAGAGATTGACGTGTAGATTTAACCCGCAATTTTGCACCCATAACATAATCGAGTCGATCGATCCGCAATTTATTTTCTGCTGGTAAATTACCATCATAAAGTATGTAGGGAGCAGGCTTGGCTTTCGTGTTTGGAAGCAGAATTAATTGTGCAGCTCGTAATTTATGTGGTATCGTACATGCATTTCCAATCTCTTACTGCCAATATCGAGCTACTGTAATGATATACGCTATTAATTGTTAAATGCAATTTATGGTGATTACGAGTCACAAGTTTTTTTTCGCCATCACCGGACAAACAACTCCACTTTTACATGCTGGGCTAGAAGTTGGTGAGATTATGGCGTGCAGCAACTTGACAAAAGATTTAGTGCGAAATGTTGCCAGTATTTCCATGATATTATAATCGATAAGGTTACAGGTGTCGGTCGAGTGCGAAGGTTATCGTATTTACACCAAAAAAAGTTTCATAACAGAATTTTTTTGAACACTTGGGTAATAGGTCGAGGTTTAATTACTCATTTACATATTCACGTAAGATGAATTCAAAAATTTCCATAAATCTCTCAGAAATTATAAAACAGGTCAACAAAATATTAGACTTTGAAAAGTTTAATAACAGTTTTTTTTAGTAAGTCAAGGTTTAATTATTAGCGAAGTAAAATATTCAAAAATTTCTAATTCAATCATTCAAAAATTACGAAAAAGTCAGCCCTACATTACATTTAAAATGTTTCATAACAGTTTCCTTAATAAGTCGAGGCTTAATTATTTACATATTCACTTAATATTCAAAAATTTCCAAATAAATCACTCAAAAATTATAAGCACGTCAATACCGAGTGAATAAACAAGACCACATTGTTCTCTCCGGTTAAAAGACGTAGACGCCCAAAATGTATGATTTATCGACACTCTTGAATTAAAATAGGACGAGCATAACACAACAACACCACGTCGTCATTTATTTCCATCTATCTTTTTTTATGAACATGCAGCAATGACATGAAAAATAAATGAGTCTCACAAACTAGAGATTTAGTGAGGCAGATAAATTAAAACGAACTCATCATCATCATCCCGGGATCATCGTCCACTCCAATTCAGGTTGAGCTTAAAATTGAAAGTGCACACGAATCGGGATTACTTATGAAGTGTTCAGTTCATTACGTGGAAGAAGATTGGATGAAAAAACACGTAAAAAATCCCACACGATGACCAATACCTATGTTTATGATGATGGAAAAAAATCACTCAAACGGGATGTGCTATCATATCAAACCCACAACCAAACCAAAGTGAAATTTGTCTAATTACTGAACTGACCAGGTAAAAGGAATACGAGAAACAAAACCACTGACAAGGTTTTGGTTCTCTCACGTAGAATGGAGGTCTCCAAGCGGTTGCTCTCCGAATTTTGAGCAAATTAGTGGCAATCGGTCACAAATTTAATTAGTATGAAATTTAGAATGACGTGATCTCCCAATGGTCAATTTTTGCAGAGATATTTCCATCCAAAGAGGAGAAAATGCGCCTAAAAGTTGAAAAATTTTACACTTTACAAATTTACTGCGCGTTTTCTCCTCTTCTGATGCAAATATCTCTGCGAAATCTGCGCATTGGGAGATTGCGTCTTTCGCAGATTTCATACTAATTAAATTTATGATCAATTGACACTTAATTGACTAAAATCAGAGAGCATACGCTGGGAGACCTCCATTGCAAGAATCATTACAATCATCAGTCGAGGTGAAAGGCTGACTTGTTTTATGAAGAAATTAACTTTATGGTGCATTAATCAAGTTCTGTCCTTCTTGGTGGGATCGGGTTCTTCTCTTATAAAACGCCACTTTTATCTATTTCCTAGCACCACCAACCAAACCCCCGATATTAAAATCTGATTGGTTTCGATGCATTTAAAAAGGAAATCGTTTAATTTTAATTGCTGCACAGTACTTAATTAGGATAAAAATTGAGGCTTGATAAAAAGAAGTAAAACGGTTTTGTAACACTTCTTGACGCGATAATTACTTAAAAACTTGGTGTTTCGAAGGATAAAAGGTTTAAAAGGTGAGAAAATTATGTAAGGATTATAATTGTTGGTAATTTTCTTGTAAAGTGGGGAATATTTTTTGTGCAGAATTTATTTATCTTGATAATTTTGTACAAAACCGAAAAAAGGAGGAAAATAAGAGAACAAAGTTCTAAGTTGAAAACCGAAAAGATTCCAGACAGATTTTAATCACAACCAGTTTTTATCGAGTCTCTGAATCTTACGATGCTCGTTGTCGCGTATTTTAACGAGAGGTGTATATTTTTATCCAATAAATTAAATCGACTTCTCATCACCTAATTCTCATCCCACTAATTGACCAGTGGTGCTCAGGCATAAATTGTGAGTAAGACCGGTAGACGGATCCAATAAAATCAAGATTTGATCATCCTACTCGTCGGTATCAATGATCTTCATCTTCTCAAATAAATACGCATTACTTTTACCAGGTAGCAAATGAGGCAAACAACAATGGTCGTTATTACGAACGGACATTTTATCTGATAAGAGAAGAATACATTTATTTGTTTGTTGTGTATTTTAGATATCTCGAATCTAGGAATTGATGAGAACAAATTGTAAAAATTAGTGTATAATGGATCAACATCTTCGTCATTGATGATGAGAAATCGGAGTTTTCATTTTAATAAATACGTAAAACTGTTTGTAAATAAGTATGCTTTAAAAATTCATTTGATTATTACTTACCTCATTTTTGTAATAAATTTGCAAATTTTTGCTCAATTTCTACATTTATCCACTTATTGTGGAATTTGAAAAACGGTTTGTAAATAAATATAAATTGGAATTTGATTACCTCATTTTTGTAATAAATTCGCCATTTTTTTGCCCAATTTCTACATTAATGCAAAACAGCCATCTTATTTATTGCAGAATTTCGACGACTGCAGTTTACCGTAAAATTCAAAAAGTTCTTCTGCAGAAACTTATTTTACGGCAAAAAGAAACCAAATCTGATCCGATTTACGAGACGACTGAAGTCGAACCGGTCATGTTGCGAGGTGCAACTTGAAATTTTTGCTCAATTTTTGCCTTAGTGCAAAACATCGATCATCGTGATCGTTTTGTCCGTCCGTCTGTCCGTCCGTCAGCAGGATATCTCCAGAACGAGTCAAGATAATCAAACGCGGTTTTCGCCATTCTGCTTCTAATTTTTAGTTCTCGGCCGAGTTCGAAAGTGGGGTCAATCGGACCACCCCCCACAGCGCCGGGGGGTGTGGTCCAAAATTAAATTCAGGTTAATTTTCATATGGGGTGTCATTTTAAAGGAAATTTGACCGCGATTTCAATGACGTTAATGTTTTTGACCTCATGACCTTGTGGACGAGGTCACAGGTCAAAAAGATACTTAATTGTCATATGGGGTGTCATTTTAAAGGAAATTTGACCGCGATTTCAATGACGTTAATATTTTTGACCTCATGACCATAAGGACGAGGTCAGGGGTCAAAAATACACAATTGTCAGATATGATGTCATTTTTAAGGAAATTTCGATCGTTCTGACGCTACTTTTTTATATTCGTTTGTAAGGGTTTATTTATTATAGAATTTCGATGATAGCAGCAGTTTACCGTAAAATTCAGAAACTTATTTTACAGCAAAAGAAATCAAATCTGATCCCTTTTAGTTCAACTATAAGTAAAATATACGTGAGAAAAAGTCAAACGAGTCATGTTGCGAGGTGCGAGAAATTTCTTGCTCAATTTCTATATTAATACAAAACATCCACTTACTTATTGTGGAATTTAAATCATTTCAGGTTAACATAAAATTCAGAAATTAATCCTTCAAAAACTTATTTTACTTACAACAAGAAATCAAATCTGCTCCCATACACGACACAAACGGTGAGAAAAAGTCGATCGCGAGTTGGAGCAGAGAGCAGCAGCGAAGAAAAGTTCACTATTATAAGCCGGCTCGCATCCGCTATCAGATCTCAGTCGAAATCTGTGCTCCAGTCGAGCAACAACGCACGCCAACCAGCCCCACCAACAAACCAGCCCCACCAACAAACCAACCTCCACAGGAAGGAGCACTTTACCACTCACCATTACCACAATTGGAATCAACTGAATTTAATCAAAAGAGCAGAATAAACCAGTTTTTCTCGCCCATTTAAACACTTTAAATAACAATTCATATCTCGCAAAAGTGAGACTTTTAGTGTCTCTCGCTCAAAAACTGAGAGAGAGATTTGTTTTGTTCCTCCGGAAATATCAAGCTGTGCCAATCGGAAACATTGGTGTGGCAGAAAATTTAATGAATTTTCGCATGAACGCGCGTCATTAGAGGCAGGACAAACTTTATACTTTGACCCTCCAACCTAGTGATTAATTGAATCGGAAGAAGAAATCCTAAGGTGTGTAGTAACTAACGTAATCATCATCTCAACATAATTGACGCCCATCACTTACACCACACCACCAGCGGTTTCAAACATTCTCGTCCATGTCATAATTAAGGTATGTACGAATGGGCAGTATTTTAAACCCCATTTTATGTATGTATCATTATTCCCACCAAAACCCAAAGTCTGCATCATTAAGTCGAGTTGAATGACGCAAAGTGGGATGTTCTCCTTCCAACTAATTTATATCCCACTGAAACAAATGAAGCCAGAATTTTGTAGTGTTTTTAACTTATCAAAGTATCAAAAAGATGACTGATTATTTCCCAAATTGAGAAGAAAAAAAGAAGAAGTTGAAAAGAATCCATCCTTTTTCCCCCTTGTCAAACTCACACGGTGCCAGATTCGCTCGCATTCGCAGATTATTATTAACGGAGGTGACTGCACTATAGAATTTATGCACTTAAACTTACGCTGCATGTTCAAAATTCCGTACCGTAGTAAAACTTTTGTACGTATCCATTTCACCAATTTTCTATAATACTCGTTAAAAACTTATGGTCTTACATCCATACGCTAAAAGTTTTTCATTTAAGAAAAGTCTCACTTTGTCCGATTTGTTGTTTGTGTCGTATGGAAAGTTGTTAAAGAGCTTCTCCTCTCCAGAATTTAACTCCATTGACACCTACTTATTCGCCCAAAGTTTGAAATAGCTTCTTCCCAACCCGATCTGGCTCATTTCATCCCGTCCTAAATTTATGTATACCCTTTTTCAATTTCCACCAGAGTCCTCTTCTCCACAATGAATATTATTTCCTTTTTGCAAAAACTTTTCAGAATTGTGTGTGACAAGATCGATGGGGAGGAGAGGAAAAGTGACTGAGTGAGTGAAAGACGCACTCCTTTTACAACAACAAAGTGTGAAGAACAATACAAAAAGAGGAGAAGGAGTCGAGAATAATGGATGAAAATTGATGTCTTGTGTTGTTCTGTGACATCATTGTCATAATATTTTGAGCCTGTTTCTTTCCAACAATTGAATACGTGGCGGTGTGACGATAACTTGGACGCATTGTGACAATTGCGAGTGAAAGGTCCAGAGTAGAGGACTTGTTCTTTTTCACTTGGTGAGGTGATGCTTCTGGGTATAAAAATAGCCCATGTTGCGCAACCAACTCTTGTTATGTTAACATATGTACACAGGACAAAGTTAGCGTAGACGAAACTCCTGCCTGATGAGATGCGAAGAGGGAGGGAGTGAGATCTGAGTGAAAATAGTAAAATATTTTCACCTCAAAATACCACAAGTACAAACCATCATCTTCATCCACATCTCTCATTCTCACCGAGAAGACGACCACTAAAACACACCAGAATAACAGCAAGAGGACCCCACCACCAGCAAATCCAAACTTTCACCTAAACCAACACGGGATCGATTTTTCGACCCAGGAAGAATTACGACATTCTCCAAACTCAAATAAATAAACTATTCGCTGCACAATTTATCGCGGAAAATAGAGGAGAAAGTAAGTAGTAGTTTTGAGGAGGAGAAAACTAGACCAGGTTGGTTAAATTGCCCTCGTGTATCTCGAGGACTAAGAGAATTTAGAAAAGACTTAGAAATAAAAATCTTTGATAAAAGTAAGCCGAGCGAAAAAAATATATAAGTTTATAAAAAGCCAGCCAGTGAGAGAGTATCCGGGGAATTTAGAAATCGTCTGAATTTTTTCCACGTGTGTGGAGTAGCAGAAAGCAAAAGCTCTCCGTGTCCCTAAAGAAGTTTGCTTTACACACATACACATTTTGCCAGTGCGGAAGGAAAGAAACAGCAGAAATGCCGCAGTCTTCAGTGGTGTGGGTGAAAGTAAAGTAAAGTGAAAGTGATCCACGATCTCGGGCAGGCCGCACTACATAAATTCCCTCGTATAGAATTACGTACATTGTGTTGAATTCTATTCAATTCGAGGGGGGCAGAATAGTAAGTAAGTAAATTCTGCCTCTTTCTCTGGCCAGGACAGCACCACAACAACAACAGCTCTCGTGGTTTATCGAGTGTAGTTAATTCTTAAAGAAATCAGACTTCCTTCAAGAAAGGATTATGCATTAACTTTCACTTTCTTCAACTCAACCACCCGCCCGTAAATAAAAGTAAATTCCGGAAAAAATGAAATGAAATGTTGATTGAAATTGTGGGAAAATAATGAGAAGGATTTTTTTCTGTTCATTCTAAATCGATCCACCACCATTCCATCAAGAAAGCAAGGAAGCAAATCAATAAATAAATAAGGAACAACCAACCTGCGAAAATAATAATACGAGCCAAGACTCATCACGTCTCTCTTTCGAGAGAAAAGAGTGAAAGAGCAGGAGAAAAATAAATGAGGAGAAAGCAGCAGATGATTCAAATGAGGGAAGGAAAGTCGGCAAACAGATGCAGTGGTGGTGGTGGTGGTGCTGGTAATGGTCCTGCTTTCACCTCTGATACACGTTCACATCAAAAGAGCAGCAGCAGTAAAGCAGAATCTTGCAGCAGTTGGACTCCTTTCAGAATGAGAAGCACCACTTTCTCCTCCACGTGGCAGGCAATGTTTCTCCTGACTTGTGCCCTCCTCGCGGTCCTAGAAATCGGTAAGTACAGCAGCAGAGAACTGACTTCTTCCAATTCGGGCAAATATCTTAATAATATCATCTCAGAGTGAATGAAAGGAGGGCATCGTGTCGGTGATAAGATATGAGAGTAGTAGAGCCGCATACATAATAATGTGATGGGATAGGATGCATATGCCCGGGTGGGATGGGATGATAACTTCTCCATCAGAATGATATGAGTGAACATTACTTTACACTTTACTTTCTCCAATCCAAATTTGTGAGAATATTCATTTCATCTCATAGTTTTTTCAGTTTGGACAAAACTCAATTTTTGCACGAGAGGAGGTAATCATTTTCTTTCGAGCATATTTTAAAAGGCAATTTCAAATAGATTAAACTGTCTGGGAATGATTTTTTTTTCTCGGAATTTCGGTTCTCTTTAAGCTCAGTTTTTTTTTGTGTGGGTAACTTTCTGTCGGAAGGAAGGAAGAAAAATCTGCTTCATGCCTGCAGAGCAGGCTTGTTAGTGAAAGTTGGAGTTCGTGCTACAGTAACTATTATTATTCCGACTAGGTTGATTTGCTAACTGGGAAAAGTTAGTTCATCCTCCGTTCCTACTAATTAAGCTGGGCCGTTTTGCAGTACAGATAGTTGTTCAGGAAGGAAATTAGTACGAAATTAGAGCGATATTTAGTTGGAAGGAACACATATCTGTACAGAATTATTGATTTTAAGGCTGACTTAAATTAGCAACAATGCTGCAAACTCGGTAATCCTCTCTGGCCCAAATTTGTAGGATGATTAGTAGATTTTGGGATAATTCTGGGACAGGATTAGTAATAACTTGATCGTCATTATGTACATACATCCAGTAGTCGGGCAGTAATTAGTTTTCTGTCCAATCCACCCAGATGGATTAGACCTCTCTAAACACATTACTATATACTTATCATCCTCCCGATATCCTATAACATATCCAACCACCACCCATCAGCACCAAGTGGATTGAACTACTCGCCCCAGTCGTGAGGAAGATTGATGTCAAATGTCAACTCTCGTCGAGTATTCAGCAAAGAGGGCAACCAAGCCACTCTGCAACAGTGGCCGCGGAAGCTGTGGGGACATTAACATTGTGGGATAGGGGAGGGAGGGGTTTGTATAACATGGGAAGATGATGGGGACATCGAATACCCGTGGGGATATTGTCCACACCCTTCCGCGGCCACTTAGCTGTGCAAACTAAACTCTCCAAAAGTAAATCATTGTATCGACACTGCATCATAAAATGTTGGCAAACTACGTAAACTATTTAGCTCCATGAGTCTCGCACAAAGAAGGACTCACTGCTTTTAATGTCTGCATGCATGGCAGAATATGAACCAGGCAAACATTTACATGCGCTAAATAAATGTCAAAAGCTGTGAATTTTCTATTATTAATGACTTTTCTCATCCTCCTCCCTCCTCCTTCTCTTCTTTTTTTCTCGCAATAAATTGAGAATGCAAATGTGAATATAATTGCGTTCATGGATGGATTAATAAATCAGTAAAGGAGGAAAGGAAACTCATGCGAGGAGGAGACAGGCATTTTGTATGGAGGCAAATATCTAGTAAAATTCAAGTTCTTCTGAACTGGCATGAAATTGAAATTAACAATAAAAATAAACTGCTTACCAGTTGGAAACATGCAGTTTTACAGTAATATGTAAATCTCGTCAGGATCAGTTACTTATTCACTCACCCAGCAGCAGCAGAATTTTATGCATTCCGTCCGATACATAACTTTTGTTTGAGTGAGGAATGGAGAGTCGGTTTTTGAGTGAGGAGAGCAAATCAAAGGAGGAATGTGGCCAAGCGACATCCTGTTGTCATTAATTAGAAAACACATAAATAATTAACCCAGGAGAGGAAATAGTAGTAAAAAGGGTTACAATTCTCTCGCTCAGCAACGGTAATGTAATGGCATAGTTGGACAAAGTAGTTCTATTATAGATACTTGGGTTTAACTGCGGCATAAATTCGCAGGAAAAACAATGTCGTCGTCGTCGTCGTCGTGTCTGCCCTCATATAAAATAAAATCGGATAGAAGAAGAACGCAAACCTCAAACAACTATTTTCTACTGGCATACGTATAAAATCCGTGTATGTACTTTGTTTCCGGAGGTGACCACACCAACCATCCTGATCTCTTACTCTCTTGTCCGTAATGATTTCCTGCTCTCGGGGAAAGTTGGCGGCTGGAGTGGTTGATCATCATCGTCGTCGTCCACCATTTTCTGGCCGTGGAGAGAGAGAGAGTGGAGCGGAGATAAGCCAAAGCCAACAATTGTGGGGTCACCGAAGCGGAGCGGGTGCTATGTACGTGTGTCGTGTCGGTGTGGGTGTCGTATCACTAATCCTATTTATTGGGGGACAGGGGAAGAGAAGGAATGTTTGTTGGTTATGTTATGTTGATGGTCATCTTCATCTCGTCCCATTTCTTGGATCGATCGTATCACCCACGAAATGCTGGCCACTTTCTTTTCCTTTCATATCCGGTTGTTTTTTGGGAGAGTATCCGTCTTTCGGCTTAATTCTGTGAGCGTAGAAAAGATGGGGAGAAGGGAAGAGATTCCAATTCAATTTATCCGATCACTGTCCAGGTGCACTTTAGACTTTATTAGTTTTAGTGTGCCAAATGTGAGTCAGATTTAGGTTCTCTTCTAGGAAATCTAAATATGTACTTAGAATGGAGGTCTCCCAAAGTATGCTCTGTAGTTTTGAGCAAATTAGTGTCAATCGATCACACGTTTAATTAGTATGAAATTTGAAAAAAGATTTTTGCATTCGAACAGGGGAAAATGCACCGTAAATTTAGAAAGTGTAAAATTTTTCAATTTGAAAATGCGTTTTCTCTCTTCGAATGCAAATATCTCTGCCAAACGCATCAGGGGATCGTATATTTTGCATTGTCATATTAACGAGATTTATGATCGAACGACATTAGTTTGCTCAAAATCGGAGAGCATACGTTGGGAGACCCTCATTGCTAGTAACAAATGTTGAGATATTTACTTTTGATTGCAAGCTATTTTAGTAACGTCGTCACCGTACATACATAAAAAATTCGGTACTCGAAATTTTCTACTCAATTTTTTGCCCCATCGAAATCTGTCAAGATTTAACTCTTCCGCAACGAACCACAGACAATAATGAAAAGACATTTCCATTCGAATAAATGTTTCTGCACGCACGATTCGCAATAAGAATTGAAATGGCAGCAAAGCTTACGTTACTTACGTAACAGTAAAAGATGCAAAGTGGTTCGTATCCGGTTGATTCTTCACCATTTGCTCCTCCCGTTTCGTATCGGAGAGACAAACATTAGGAGGAACTGATGCAGAAAATGGCATTCAAGAAACGAGTTTGAGACACATTTTACACAAATTTATGACATTTATTGCACTCGTGACACATGTTCTGGCACACTTTTCCTCGGCCTTTGGACCAATAAAGAGAGCAAAAATGCGTAATTTAGAGATTCAATGGAAGAACGTCGTAAAACAGAATATATTATTTAATGGTCCCCCGTTTTGTCGAACAAAAGTACATATTTTTAGGTCTCAGGAAATTGTTGAAAAGGAATCTAATTTTTGCAGGGGCCAAGTGAGATTGTGACGGAAGTGTGTGAGATATTTTTATTTTTAATCTGCTTAGAAAACCGACGTATACACAAAGATTTGAAGAAGAGATTTTCTAAGGATTTATACTAATCAGAGGGACAAATACAAGGAAAGAAATAGGAAAAACCTACGGTGCAGCCTTGTTTAGCCCGAGTCAGGTTGTTATTAAAAATTGAGGTGGGTATAATACGACCACGACAACTTTTTTATTTTTCGCCAAATTTTGCTCATCTTCTAATTCGGTTCCTAATTTTGCACATTCTACGTTTGTGCAAAATTTCAAGTCGATTGGATAAATTTTACAAGCGTAATCGATAGACATACAGACAAACAAACATGATGGGTACATAAGGCCTGACTCGGGCTACAAAAGGTGACTTTTTGCTGTGAAACATTGACCAAATTTGTTACGCCTTTTTTTTGTCTTCGTCTTCATTATGTCACATCACGTTCCAGTCAGTCTGCGTATGTGAAATTAGTCTCATTCTTTTTGTTTGGAAATTCCTAATACAAAATATCCACAGATTACGTTACGTGTAAGACAGTTAAGCTTTATTTCAACTCGGCCAAGTAACTGCAACTCGTAATAAGAAACAAATGGGACTAACCCTGACTAAACCAGTGAGTGACATTTACTCCATGGTGTGAAATTTAGTAGGGATCTTGATGAGAATGAGGTTTCATTGTTGTTATTTATGCGTAGATAAAAAGTGTTAGAAAAAGTCGGCTAACTTTTAACAGCCCGGTGATCACGACACCTTTATACTTCGAAATAAGTATTTCAAGGGTTTCGTTTCTTGCAGGTTTGCTACATTTCTTGCACGGTAAATCAAGCAACGCAGGAAATATGAGGTGCAAGAAACTGTGAGAAAGTGCAAGATATATGCATCATCTAGGCACGCGCCGTACTTACGCCGTAACTATAGCAGTGGGGCATGATTTCTTGCGCCTTACATTTTTTGCAGGTCAAAATAGCTGCAAGAAACTGTTTTCTGACGGTTATTTCTTGCACTGCAAAGTAACAAACGCAAGAACTGCGAGGTGCACGAAATTGCAAGGAATGCGCCTTGAATTTTCAAGCAGGTCAAAATAGCTGCAAAAAACCACTTTCTTACCACTATTTCTTGCAAGTGGTTATTTTACTTACACCCGAAACACTGTACATGCTTACCTGTTCTTCTGCACACGGGATCATTTTATGAGAACGAATAATAAATGTCCATTATTTATTGAACGTTGTTTTTCCCCACTTTCTTACAAAATGCCGTTGTCATTGAATTTTCCGTCGAGCAATATTTTATGATAGCCATAACATAACATAAGGACTCCGTGGAGGCAGGTGTTACCAGATTGTCAAAGACTCCATAAGGTCATA